GAAACCCTAATGACACGCTGTGCCTGTGTACTTCTGCTTGTGGCTATGACTCCTTTGGTTTTAAACATGTAATCCTGCAGAGGAATATGTATATGCCCCTTTAGTGGGTTCATAACCTTGTTTTCCTGGAGAAACCTACACAATACCTGTTAGTTGGGCAGCCATGCAGCTAAGCCGTGCGTGGGTTAGGTGTGTGCTAATGGAAAGAAACGCATAACCTCAGCTGAAGCTGACTTGCTTGGAGGCTGCTGGGACACCCACAGAGAGGAGTGAACTGTGCCTTATCTCCTTTGGGACTCACAGCTGGAGAGGGGAGTGCCAGATGCTGGCCCTGGGGAAAGGCATAAGGTGAATTGTCATGGGGGTGTCTGTCTCCAGAACATTGGCCAAAGCATATGGAGTCATGCCTGATAAAAAGGACTAAGCAGTAACGTACCCTGTTTGTTTTGGCATTGGTGGGTTTGCCAGTGCATGTTCTCGGCTTTTACAGCAGCTCTCACATCTTCACGGAGTTTGGCTTTGACTACCTAGTAGGGGTTAAGCATGGGGCTTTGACAGGATGAAATGTATGTTAGCTTTAGCAATTGTGTGTCTACTGGTGCAGGGCGGGAAGACATGTTCCTCTGATGCCATCCACCTTTTACACCCAAAAGGGCGATACCCCTGAGAGAGATGTAGCTGATGCTTGCAAGTATCCATCTTGCATACTTCAGCTGCACTGACACTTGGAGGTGGGACATGTGGGCGCAGCAGGACCAGAGCAAGTTTAGTACCTTAACAGAGTTGGACCTGAAGACCATAGCGCAGGGCATCTTCATTAGGGACAAGCAGGATCGTAAGTTTTTTTTTTTTTCTCAGTCTATAGTCACTACAGAGTATTTATTTTCTCTAAAGCTTACAGACAAATAACTAAAAGATATGAATCTGACATGTCAGATTTTTTTAAAAGCCAGAAAACATCTCCTTTCATTGGACAGGAAATACGAGACTCGGTTACTTTGCTTTAAAAGGTCCCAGGCTGACAGTTCAGGCACAGGGAAATGCTGGCCCATGTTCACTGTGGCTCCTGAACAGCAGTACAGTCTCTTCTCCCTGTTTTACACCTTGCCCAGACCTGAAGGGGTTACGTTTTAAAATGAATAGTGACTAAATTTATTCGTCATGGACAAATGATGACAGCTGCTGAGATGCTCCTGTTATCGCTTCCCAGGGGATAAAGTCAGGCTGGTTCCTAGTGCAAGCCAGCCCAGCCAGGCAGACTGAGCTCTTCTTCATCCGGGATTATTTGTCCCAGGTTCCTTTCACTAGCGGGAAATTACTTCCTAGAAGTGAATTGAAGTTTCCTGGGCTGACATGGGTGGTGATGAGAATCCTGCAGAGCTACAGTTGTAGAGAGAGGGCTGAAACCGTAGCTGTTTAAATCCACGTGTGAAGACAGCATGCTTAATGAATACGAGGGGCAGAGATTGATTATGTTCTGGACTGAAAGCCGCAGCGCTCTGTGAAGCACTGTTACATCTGGGCATGCTATGGAAAATATGAAGGAATGTTGAGGAAGCTTATTTGCAGAAGGATATGTACTTGTAAGCAATTTTATTTTCTTCTAAAATAATGTAAGAAATTAAGAAATGTAAAGCAAATAGTGTTCTCTGTTTCTCTGATACAGCAGAGCAGTGAGCAGACAAAGGCCTCTTTTATAAGGGCATGTCTCTGACAGAGAGTACTGTACAGCCCTTATAAATGAGCCCTTGGGGGGGGGGGGGTCTTGAGATGGGAGAACATCTGGTAATTTAATGTTAGAATGTGGCACTGATTTTGCATCACTGCACCTCTGATGAAGTTGAGAGTTACACCCATGATGAATTCACCACCTCCTGATTTGCAGAAAAATATGATCCTAGTTCAAATGTGAACAGGAGACAAATGTGAACAGGAGACAATGAATGGGGGGAAAAAAACCTCTTTTTAATGATGATGTGTAGTAGCTTGCTTTTCTCTTATTTTCTGTACTCCCATGTTCAGGTTTCTTCCTGTTCTTTGTTTCTCTTTCTGTCCTGCACACGTGCTGCTGGAAGACTTGGTGTGCAGTTCTGAATGTGGCGCTGTCATTCTGCGCTGCTCAGATGAGAAAATGCTGCTTGGTTATTGAAGGGATATTCTGATTTGATAAATATGTAATGCTTAGTTTGTGGACTTAATGAACAGGAACATGTGATTGTAATTCAAACATGCACAGAACTGTGGGCTGGCTGGGGGTTTTTTGAGTGGTGTTTGGTGGTTTTTTTTCTCATTCTAATGCTCAAAAAAGCTTGTTTTAAATGAATAGTTTAATTAGTAAAATGCTACAGGGGTGTGATCCCTTTAATACCTGTTTTTATGATTTTTAAATTTCTCATATAAAATAGCAAACCACACCCTCTTCTCCTTTCAGAGGGGTGAGGCTTTAAAAATGCAAATACCAAGAGGAAGCAAATTGACTAAGACTAGATAGCTTGAAAAGCAGCTGATGGAGACTTTAATTACCAGATGAAAGTAGTTTTGAAGTAGAAAAGCATCTTTGTTTTGAATATGATTGACCTTCTCTTGACTGGTAAAATATATATGTGTGACAATCATTTGCTTAGTATCTATATAGGAGCTTTTGAAATAAATGCAGTTGGGGCAAATTTTACCAAGAAGTTTTTGTATTCAAAGTCTGTGCAAGTCTTTCTGCACCACTTCCTAGAGGCTTCATAGTTTGTATGTTTTAAAGTTTATATTGATCTGCCGTGACCTTCTGTGCAATTCTCACCAAATAATATTTTGAAGTAATTCTTGTTTGAACTAGACTGTATCTTTGAGGGGACCAACAACAACAAAAAAGCAAACAAATCAGTCTTACTTGTAAAGAGCTGGCTGTGGTAGGATTTGCAGGGTAACATACCTCCTAGCCTTGCAGAGAGTCAGTCCTGTGATTATTGCAAAAAATGAAGGGGAGAAGGGGAGGAAAAAACTAAGGTAATTCAGAATTTAATTTGTTTTTAAGCTCCAGCTGGCAGCCTTGTTGTATATTTTTCTGTTAGGTGAGAAACAATATTAATAAATCACACTAGAAAACTGTAATAAATTTTGAGTTGCTGCATTAACACAGAATATAATCAAGCAACTTGTAAAGAATCTGGTCAGACTAAACAGTGTCCTGCAGTGAATTTTCATTTAATTGAATTACAAATGTATTTCCCAATCCTTTAATCATTCTCATGAACTTTTTTCAAATAATTTTTGAATTACGTATGTCAGAACATGACCAGTGTCAGTAGGAAGGTCGCGTGTTCTCCATGGCTGCCCTAGGGCTACTACAGCACTGTGTTAAAGAGAGCCCGCATCCTAATTGTGGCTTATGTTCTCAGCTGTGTGACTTTAAATTCCTTGATGTTAAAGTTCATATGTTCACTTTTGTCCTGTTCTCTTTTGAACAGTCCCAAATCACCTGTTGTTATAATACTCCTTTCCTTGTGATGTTACTTTTATCTTTTTTTTCCTAGCCCTTTCCCATATTTGAAGATTTCCTGAACATTAAAATTAAGGGGAGAGAGATCATTGTCCTCCTTTCTTAAAGTGTCGTATGCTGCTGTCTACCCACCATTTCTGTGCTGTGACTGGATTGTTGGCATTATGTGCAGGGGTGCACATTAGAAATGTGGTGTTTAGGTTTTTAGATGTTGTGATGGTTCTCCTGTGTGCAGCTGCTAATAAGCCAGTACCACTTTAGGCAAGGAAAACTCCTTAAGACTATTGGGCTGAGGACAATACAGGCTTTGCTTGCTGTTCTTTTGCTTTCCCTAGGATATGTCTATACTGTTACCAGTTTATTTTCTTCCTTTTGGAAAGCTCAGCCTGCATTGAAAATCATTAATTAGTGCCTAACTAGGAGCCTTTACGTGTTACTAGATGTTCCCAGTTGCTGCTTTCCTGAATAGGGATAGATTAAAGCACCTGGTTTGAGTTTTTACCAAGAGAAATTTTGCAAAGGAAATGTTCCTGAACTGGTGGAGATTGGGTGCATATGTTGAACTGTTGGGGAGGGATGGACATGAAGCAGGTCTCAAATCTTGAGTGAAACATTAGTGTGGAGAAGCTAAGTGATGGGGGCTGAGGTGGCTTCCTGGCCTCAATAAATGCGCACCCTATATACCATCTGTCCAAACACATTGTCACCTTTCAACCTAGGACTAGTTTCTAAAGTGGATTAGCTAATCTGTATAAAACTGCAATATAAGCACTCCTTGGGAATTGAAGTGACCTTCACTGAGAATCAAAGTTACTGTAATTCTTTTTAAGATAATTTATATTCATGTTTAGAGATAGAGGCCACAGTTCACTTTGGATGTACACAGAAGGTTCAGTAAGTTTTAATACACCTTGTATTTGATTTTATCAATTTGAGGTAACTTTATTTACTTGTAAAGAATCTCTGGTGATCATTTAAAAGAATAGAGTGGGTTTATAACTCTGGATGGGTTCTGTGATAAATGGTCTGTAGTTTATCAAAAGCATGGGTGTTGCCATGCATCTTTTGTGAGTTAGCCTGTATTTTCAGTATGGTGCATGCTGGTATCAGGGTGTGGCAGGGCAGCCTGTGCTGTCTGATCCCTCCAAACATTGATCTTGGATTTTGGTTTTGATCATGGTTTTGGTTTTGCTACAGCCCATGGCAAAATAGCTCTCAGATATAAACATCAGAGATACAGACTGTACACACCCCAAGTATTATTTGCGGCTTGCATCTTTCTGGTGTAGATTTGAATTTTATTCTTTTTATCTATGTGTTCATTAAAAAAGCTTGTACAGTGGCTTCAGTAGCAAGGATTGGGTTCAGTGGCCTGGGGTCATTTATGAATAACCATTTCTCGTGGCAGAGCAGATCTGAACATGCATCAGGTTTGCTGTTGCATGGGCATGTTTTTTGGGATGCCTCTTTGCGTCATCAGATTTACAGCTGAGTGTGCTTTTTTTGGCAGATAAAATTTTTGATGATGAAGACTCCGTGGATGGGAACAGACCTTCCTCAGCTAGCTCCTCTACATCTTCAAAGGCCCCTGCAAACTCACGCAGAGTTGGGATGGGGACTACCCGCAGACTTGGGTCTGCAGCTCTGGGCTCAAAGTCCTCAAGTAAGCTGATAGCATATATAAATTGACCTGTATGTGAAGTATTTATAGTGTTCATGCTTGAGCTTATGCAGGGACTTCCAGACTGGCCCCCAAGATCCAGTAACAAATTCTTCCCTGTGAAACCGTGTATATTGTCTGCATGCCGTGGTTGAGTTTTGATAAGATGAATCTCCAAGCAGTCTCCATGTCCCTATAACGTGCTTTGCATTCCTGTAAGGTTGGACCTGTGCAGTTGGGCACTGAGGGCTATGAGTAAATCATGTCGATGTTGCCATGTGTGGATTTTTGCCTTTGTAGCTGCACTCTTCAGCTGAACTGAGGCCGTTTATGATTGCATGCTAAACTTCAGCCCATGCAATCTAAAACTAGTGCACTGCCTTTCTTCTAAGACCTTTGGGCATTGCTCATAATGAAGGTGCAGAAAGAAAACTGAGCGGTAATTCTGAATGTGATCAATAATTCTGTATGTGTTTATAATTCTACATGTGACCTAGAGAAATGGGGGAAGTTCTCTCTATCAGGTAGTCTCCAATCTGATTAATATTCCAGAGACTGTTTATCTTCCTTATCATTTGTCTGTTTGTGCACCTGTCAGATCTGCACCTTCATCTATTATAGATAAGATTAAATCCTTTAAAAGAAAATCTCCTGTATAATTAAAGTAAATATTCCCTTTCATCTTTCGTGCTGTGTCCCCTGTTGAGTGACTACTGTAATGACTTCCCTAATGTGCCCTCTGTGCTTAGGACTTGAAGGATGCTGCGATTGTCTAGTCTGTGCCTGGCATTGAATTTCCCTGTCTCTGCTTTCATTACATCTGCAGCACTCTGAGGCCTGCATGGATAATGAACTTTCTCGTTAATAAGTGCCTTGATAGCTGATGGTTTCTTAATTGATTCTATTGTTAAAAAGATAGAAAAAACATTTTCATTTGTATGTCAGCAGCCAAAGAGGGAGCAGGTGCTGTGGATGAAGAAGACTTTATTAAAGCATTCGAAGATGTCCCAACGGTTCAGGTAAGTAGAATTACACATTAAAACTCACAGTACTAAAAAGCTGAAGATATATACAGGTTCTAGTCTTAATCACTGACAAATTGTGCTTCATTGTGATGTTGACAAATCTTCTTTAAGGGGAAGGCAAGTTAGAAGTTGGAGGGAGGTAAGCTTTAAATGGTGATGTCTGCCAACAGTTTGTGTGAAACCCTCAGAAGTGGGAATGGGAGTGGGAAGGTTGTGATAAGAGGTATCACAGGAGTACATATGGGTCTGGAACTGGATGTGTGTGCTGCACAGTGCGGGCTGGTCAAACAAAAACTGAAGTCAACAGAAGCCTCTCTACGTTTCCTCTCTACCATCTGGGAACTGAAAGCAAGAAAGGTGACCTGTGTCTCCAGGATTGCTGCTGTTGTGAGTGTGACAACTGAAAGCAATGGATTTAGCAGAGCCGTGTTATGTATCCCCTCTCTTTCACCAGAACTTTATTTATGGGGGACAGTTGAACAGCACATGTATCCACTAGTGATCTTCTGTAGGTCTTTACTAACACAGCCACTAGTAGCTGCAGGAATGCTGTTTAAAATTGTGGAAATACGGTGAAATAATAAAATATGATCCTTTAATCATCTTGTCATTTAGTAATTTTTGATTGCAAGGTTAGCACATGATGCTTAAGCACGGAGGAGCAAAAGACATAAGAACTTAGCTGTAAAGTGATCTGATTTTTTGGAGTAAGTCTTGCGTTATGGTGCTACTCTGTATTTAAATTTGCAGATTTATTCCAGCCGTGATCTTGAGGAATCCATAAACAAAATAAGAGAGATACTATCAGATGATAAGCATGACTGGGAACAGAGAGTTTCTGCAGTAAGTAGTGAACTTCATATATGTGAACTCTATTAATATAAGATTTTTCTGCACTGAGCTTAATCCTGTGAAGAGGGTACTGGGAAAACCTGAGTATGTCTAGAACATAGTTTAAGTGGTGAGCATCTGTTAATGTTACCCCACACTTGGGGAAAATGTTTCCTTATGAGACTGGATTTAAACCTTATATATGTGAAGGAAAATCATATTTTGGTATATGAGAATCTGTTGAGATAGGATCAGGTTGAACTGGAAGTCAGACAGCAAATCCAAATGTAGAACTAGAAATTTGCTAGCAGATGCTGAAATAAGAATGTCAGAGGTTATATTTAGACTATCTTTAAACTTCCTGATGAGGCAGAAAATCACTTTGCTTATAGAGAGATAATTTATACTTTTGCAAAAGAAGGTGTAAAATAATTCAGAAAGAATTTACACACTTAAGTTTTGAATAAATGAATACAACTGTGGGAAATGGGGAAGTTGATAATCAGATGTGTTATATGTATGCCAAGACTGTTTTATTTACTGAGGTGAGCTCTGTTGTCGTGATATATATAGATGTGTGATCCTGTCTACACCAAAAACTTTCACCACTGGTGTAACAACTTTGATGTGTCTGTCAAATTCTGTATTACAGATCTGAGTGGGAAATTGTGCTGATTCAGCTTATTTCAGGTTGTTTTATTTTGGTTTTTTGGTTTTTTTTTTGTTTGTTTTTGTTTGTTTTGGGGTTTTTGTTTGTTTGTTTACTGTTCTTTGTAACAGTGAGCTTAAATGGAGGCACTGTACAGATGCATCAGCATGCATGAGGGCCTGTGAAGGTGTCCAAAAGAATGTCTATAGGATGATATGGTGGCCCCTGAAATATTAATAGAAAATTTCCCATTTTGATGGGATCAGGGTTCTACTTCTAATACAACCAGATAATAAATTTAATGAAGTCAGTGAACATCTTCTAGATATGTCAGTATTACTCGAATCTGAATATGAACCATGCCCTTTAAGTCTAGTAATCTTTTAATACAATAGTCAACTGTAAGAGGACCTAAGCTTTAGAAGCTGCTGTAAATAGTTGGTTTCTAAGGGAAGTAGAGGAGAACCTTCAAGATATATTTTGGCTTAAAAAGTAATGGTTGGGTTATTAACGATCAGTTTGAGCAGCTATATACAACAGTTACGGATTTCTGTAATAGGTAGTTGTTTACATTATCATACTTTGTATGTTAACCTATGAGTTGAATATAAGATCTGAAATAATAGAATTGCTTGGACTTTAAAAACAATTGTACAAGGATCCTGGAAACCAAGTATCAGCCCTGAACATAACTGACCTTGTATTTATTGCTCATTAAAAGTCACTGCTTTCTTTTATGGTGCTAACAGTTGAAAAAGATCCGCTCCTTACTTTTGGCTGGAGCTGCAGAATATGATAACTTCTTCCAACACTTAAGACTTCTGGATGGAGCATTTAAATTATCTGCTAAAGACCTGCGGTCTCAAGTAGTACGAGAGGCTTGTATCACGTTGGGGTGAGTTTGCTTTCTAAACACACTTGAACTGTGATGTATCAAAAAGGAACTGGCAATGGTTAAAACACATTCAGGATGTAACATGGGCTGCTAGTACTACGTGGTTATAGGTAGAACATGCTTTTGCTACAGCTGTTTAATACCGCATCCATGTAGGCCACTAATTGTAGTTCTGTCAAACTTTGTTCCTGAGTTTTAAACAATGCTGAGTTGAAACATGCTGAAAGGATGAGCAAGGCAGGCATTCATGTGCTGAGTAGGGAAGGATTGAACAATAAAGTTGAAATGTCTGTTTTGTTCTGTCTTGGGCTGAGCTGCTTAGGTTTGACATTTTATCCTTTGTGAAATGCTTCAAGAAGGGTGCCATAGTGTTTTTTACAGCTTTTTTGAAATTTATGTATCCTTAAGCAAAATAGGCAGATTCAGAGGAACCGTAATATAAACTAACAAGTTGAAAAAATACATTCTTTTGGCATGATCCCATTTGATAATAAACTTTTAGCTGTGCTAGTTACATTATTTTATGCTGAACTTACTGTTTCTCAAAGTTCAGATGGGTATAGTATAGACATTTGATGGGAAAGTGAAGAAACATTTTTCAGACGTGGTGTATTCTCTCCTTCGGAGTTGGAGAGGAGATGACAGTTATGAGGACTGAGATGTCAGATGTGCTTATGTCAGATTTCTGTAGAACTCGCTTAATCCTCAGCATGACTTGTCAGCATGACTTCATTCTGTTTTTCAGACATTTATCATCAGTTCTGGGAAACAAGTTTGACCATGGGGCAGAAGCCATCATGCCAACAATTTTTAATCTAATTCCGAATAGTGCCAAAGTCATGGCCACTTCTGGTGTTGTGGCAGTTAGATTAATCATTCGAGTAAGTATACATCAAAAAAAAGAACAATGTTATTTCCAAATACTGTGGAGTTTGAGGAAATATGAATGTTGATGCAATGAAAATTTGATTAAGTGCCTAATCTACTTATCTGCTTGTGCTGGGTTTGGCTATCTCAGGTGCCATGCAGCTTTGTGTAGATTATGATAGTTAAACCCTGCCATAATAGTAGGAAGAATACTTCTTTGCAGAGTAAGATATTTGCATCCCCCTAAGAGCTGAGCAAACTTTTTTCTTTGAATGGGCTTTAAACCTGCCTTGCAGGACACACTCATCCTTTTAATTATGCTCTAAAACTCCTCACAGACAGTGCATGTTTCCTGAAACCGTTAGGTTACAGGAGTGACTTCTGTCTAATGATTCACTGGGGAAGCTGTAGATAGCCTGATAGCTTTCAAGTTGTCACCACTGACAGTTTAGATCCTACTGTGTGCCTTCAGCTCCTTGATTCACTGCAGCCTGTCATCATACAAAAAAAAATAATATTGAAGGTATTTAACAAATAATCAAAATATCTTCCTGTATCTTAGTGTAGCTTTACTTAGTTCCATTTTTAAGAATTGAACAGAGTATCTACATGCTGGGTCAGGTCACTGAAAGAGATAGCTTTTTGTTCCATGGAACTGTTGTGTAAAGTTTTTTCCCTGGTTGTTTTTTGTTCTAGCATACACACATCCCTCGATTAATACCCATCATAACCAGTAATTGTACCTCCAAGTCTGTTGCAGTTAGAAGGTAAGCCTTAAGTTTGAATTTACTTTTGTTTTACTGATAAATACGTTCACATGTACTTTCTGGTAACATTTATGTATTTGTTTTTATTCGTGAAAAGGGTTGATAGGCACACCTGAAGGATGCATCTTGCTCTCCCCCATGAACTGCGATCAAATTCAAAGTCAGCTGTCTTGTATAAGTCTCAGTACTGCAGAGAAGTCATTTTTCCACAGAGATTTTTTTTGTTGATTTTTTTAATTTAAACTGAACTTTGTGCTTATGTGTCATTATAACATTGTATTATTTTGGCATTTTTACAGACATGTCCCTGTTCTCCATTACTAGCAGTTACAGTTAAATGTTTTTTTTGAGCCAGTCAGCAGAAGTAGTGTTCTGTGATGGCATCATCTGAATTTGAACTGGATGTGTTAATGGTCTCCTCTGCACTTAAAATCTAAGTGTATTTCAGTCACTGTGAGACTTGCCCAGTCCATGTAGATTGGCTAGTTCTCTTCCACTTAGCCAAAAAATGCTTTGTGATTGCTGAATTTGGTGAAAAACCTTGAATAAGTAACAGTGCACTTGTGCTTTTGTTTCCTGAAATGAGGAAAGGAGATTAAATATGAAAAGATCTCTCTCCACATGAAGCTAAATGTGAAATTTCTGTGTGCAGTCTTAACAGGGACAAAGTATAGAAAGTATGAATATTTTGGGCCTGTATCACATTTAATGAAAAAAAGGGGCTTTCTGGATTGTGTTCTGTGAAGCCCTCTATCCAGGGCTGTATTGATGGCATTTGATGTTTGTTATCAGGGTCATTACCAAATTCTAATGTCTAAAAAACTTCATAACAAAAAAACAGCTGTTGTTCAAAGGCAGGCATGGCAGTCAGTGTGTCTCTGTTAACCCTGAGAACTCAGCATTTCTTCTCTTTCTTCTCTCAGGCGCTGTTTTGAATTTTTAGATTTATTGTTGCAGGAGTGGCAAACACACTCCCTAGAAAGGTAAGCTCTGAAAACAAACAGGTTAATGATTTCTTGCATATGTCTGCAGGGTTAATTCTGAAGAGAGGATAATCTAGGAGGTGAGATTATATCAGGTAGCTCTTGTAGAGATTTTTTGCCACAGAAAAGCATGTACATATGTGCACACATGCTATTTGTTCTGGCAGAGTTCAATGAGTCTGTCTCCTGTGCCAGCTTTGTAAAACCTGGCTGAGTGAATCTCTGAACTCAACAGATTTTTGTGTGTGTGTGTGGGGGGGGGTTGTTTGTTTGTTTTGGGGTGTGGGGTTTTTTGTTTTTTTTTCCACTTTCCCTTTTCACCCTAAAGTGAGATGATGAAGTGAAGGCTACAGCACGTCTGTGGGAGGTTCTGAGGCTCCTACAGTACTTCAGACCAATGAACAATTAAAGTAACTGGGGGAAAAGAGACTGGGACACAATTTCCTTAGCCTTACAATGTACAAGACTATTTAACCTTTAAGAGAGTGGTTTTGCACCCAGGAAATTTCTGGCTAACTGAAGACTGACCTCTGAAGAATGCTGCTTGGCTTTTCGTAGTCAGCAGTGTGGGTGAGAGAAAACTGATTTGTAAGACCAAGTAAATAAATAAAGGCTCCAAAGGAAATGGGATGATGTGATGAACTGCTGTTCTCAACCAAGGCAAAATCAAATTACTCATTTGTTTGTATGGTGCATCTTTTTGTACTGCTGGATAATGTTTTCCTTATTTCAGACACATATCAGTGTTAGCTGAAACAATAAAGAAGGGAATTCATGATGCAGACTCTGAAGCCAGGATAGAGGCAAGAAAGTAAGTGGATGCTGGTTTTGGCGTCTCGTCTTCCATCCCTTCTTTGCCCCTGTTGTGTTGTCAGTGTTATTGCATGTTGGGGATTGAAGTCCAGACAGGTTAGATTCTCTCCTGGCAGTTGATGCCAACTTTGCCTTGGCTTCAGTGGGTGTCTGTACTTCAATGAGACTGCTTACTTCAGCAGATGTCATACGAGGTTGATCACATGGGGCTGAGTTATATATGTATTGCATCTTATAACAACGTTTCACTGGTTTCACTTTGTTCTTGTACTGTTTTATTGCCATTTTCTGTCTGAGTGTGTAACTAAGAGTCTAGAATAGAGAACTTGTAACCTTGTCTGTCTTTTTGACATTTGAGTTCCTTGTAGTTAACTGAGATTGCTCCTGTTTAGTACAAAAATATTATTATTTCTGATATTTTTTCTCTTTTTGGCCTGTATGCAAGACCTAGGATGAAGTGATGCTTGGCACAAGTATAAACTGGAAGAGGAGTAGTTGGAGAGTAGCCCTGCAGAAAGGGATCTGGGGGTGCTGGTTGACAGTCCAGTGCTGATTGCAGTGTGCCCTGGCAGTCAAGAGGGCAAACTGCATCCTTGGGTATATTAAACACAGCATAACCAGACAGTCAAGAGAGGCAATTATTGGGCTGTATTCAGCATTGGTGTGGCCTTACCTTTAATACTGTGTGGAGTTCTGGGCCGCACAATTGAAGAAGGATGTGAAAGGCCTTGAATTGTGTCCAGAGGAGGGCGATAAGGCTGGTGAAAAGGCTGGAAGCAATGTCCTCTGAGGAGCAACTAAGGACTTTGGGCTTCTCTAGTTCGGAGAAAAGGAGGCTCTCTACATCTTCCTGAGGACAAAAGGTGGAAGAGGGAGGTGCTGATCTTGACTCTAGTTTCCAGTGGTAGGATGAGAGGGAATAGTTCAAAGCTGTGCCGGGGGAGCTTTTATACTGGATATTTTGAAGCATTTCTTTAACGAGGGGGTGCTTAAACACTGGAGCAGGCCTCCTGGAGAGAAGGTTGATGCCCCAAGCCTGTCAGTGTGTAAGAGGCATTTGGATTTCCTTAACAACACACTTTAACTTTTGGTCAGTCATGAATTGGTCAGGCAGCTGAACTAGATGACAGTTCTAGGTCACTTCCAGCTGAAATAGTCTATTCTATTGTTATTTGCTACTCTTGAAATTAAAGTCCTTGTCCTAATACATTGCTAACTGGTATCTTAAATTAAGGAAATATTTTATTACACTGCAATAATAATATCTCTTAAATTTCCGTTACGTGATTGCACTTATATTAGTATGCTGAGGTACTAGGATCATGCTCTCCTGGACAGAAAGCTACAGAAATTTTTTTCCTCAGAGAATCCTGTGAAACATTAAATCAATGAGCAATAGATTTTATCAATCTAAATGCTGTATTATAAGCAGAGGTGTTTCATAGCAGGACCGTTTAAAACCCTTTAGAAAGATAACACGTCCATCACTGAAAAATACAGTAGGCACTGAGATTTCACAGCAGGTGACTAGTTAAGCTGAGCAGACAGCTAGGAGAATGGCATGAGACTTCAGAAAACTTGCTTATTTCTCTCTTCACATGTTTCTTAATTAGCAGTGTGGGTGATTGTAAAACAGAAATTTCTTTCCTTCTAGTGATATCAGAATGCATGTGATTCGTGAGGCACTGAGGGCAATTCTTGCTTCATTTAACAGTCGTACTCTTAAACTGCCCATTAATTGCCCCCTGAAAAGTGCTGAGAGTCTTCGTCTCCTTTATGATGAGAATGAATGGTGTTTAACCATGAGCCAGGAGTTTTGGACCGGGGAAGAATTCTTCCCTCATTTAAAAATGCTCTTTTATTTTCAGCATGACACTGATTGGAAGTCTGTGGGAGCATCTCTTTCCTTGTCCTCGTTGTTTTTTCCCAAAAAGGCACTCAATAGCCTCAACTCAGTACAGATTTGTCTCTGCAAAACTGTGGGAGAGCTGTTTGTTAAACTTAAGGAAGCAAACAACACCCACTGGTGTTTTCCTGAATCAGGCCCATGTATGTGTATTCTGCTTTTGGCATGTTTCAAAGTAGCTATTGGGCATCCATCCCAAACTGGTATTAGTCTAGTAGGTCTACCATCTCACGTGTATGATAAAGCCAGCCAAAGGGATGAAGGTTGCTTCTGTAATAAAGGTTTATTGGCTACTTGTGTTTTTACAACACGACAAATGGTGCATTCCTCTCTTCCTGTTTTCATGTGATTTGTCTTCTGTGTGCCTGTCAGCATGGGTCGAAGAAAGTGATACTGAGTGTGTCATAGGGGTGGTAGATGATTAAAATGAACTAATATAATGAGCCAATAATGGCAGTAGTGAAAAGGGTTCTGACTCTGCCTGTGTTCTGCTGCCCCCTAAAACATGACAAGGAAATATTAACTGTATTGTTCCTTGTTTCCAGGTGTTATTGGGGTTTCCACAGTCACTTCAGCCGAGAGGCAGAGCATTTGTACCACACCTTGGAGTCTTCCTACCAGAAGGCTCTGCAATCACATTTGAAGAACTCTGACAGCATCGTGTCCTTGCCACAGTCAGATCGCTCTTCCTCCAGCTCCCAGGAGAGTCTCAAGTAAGTCTTCTGGTGTTACTACCTCTCAATTTGAACAACTATGGACAGCTCCATTGGATTGGAGGGAGCCATTGCATTGCTATGTCTCATCTGGTTATTATTTGGCCTCAACACTTGTTACTCCAGATTATTCTTTTTTTTTGTTATTTTTTTTTAGCTAACATTGCATTAAAATCAAAAGCCAGCAAAATCTGTCATTGGCTTAAAAAAATAATCAATCATTATATCGATTCTGTAAATAATTCCAGGTGCACTTAAAACAACGCTTGGATTAAAAAATTGTGTTTAGCATTAGTCCTTGAGGTGTAAATCTGCCTCTTTCCACATGAGAGAGAGAAAAAAAAATAAGCTAAACTTGAGTTGTAACTGCAATTCCATGTAATGCTTCTATTGAATGCATGTATTTTAGCTCGCCTTAGAGATAGTCAACTTGGACTTCATACGTCTGCAATTTAAGTATAAGACCCATATGAAAAATGTCTATCACTTATTGATGTAACTTTTAACATCTACAGAAAGTGTTCTTAAAATCTCCTTTTAGTCAAATAATGTGCATACTAATTCTGTTCCTAGTGCTTTTGTAAATAATTTCATGGTGGTATCATATTTACTCTTAAACAATAAATTTTGTTAGTCTATTCCAGTATATAGCTTCCTATCAGCTCGGTGTGTTTACTGAGGAAATAAATAACACAGTTACTGATGATTATGAAATACTGGTTTTGTTTTAATAAATATTTATTTATCTTCTAGCCGTCCTTTTTCTGCCAAAAGAAGTCCTACTGGAAGTACTACATCCAGAGGTGAGAACAGGAGCTGAAAACTGTGTTCAGTGTTGCTAATGAAATGTGATGAATTGGAATGAGAATTTCAGACACTATGATGTGCAAAGAACATCTTTGATCACTGCTTACTTCTCCTTAAAATGGCAACTAAGTATGTGAAATTTTTAATTAATTTTGGGTTGTACACCACATTCTGTGCATCAGCTGCTGATATAATGATGCTTTTGAAAGTTAGGATAACTGTTTTTGCTTGCACCTGAAAGGAAGGCTAAAAAGCCTTGGAAACTGTAGCCAAAATATGTTTAGCTGTGTCATAAACCACCGCTGATGCTAAAACATACATAGTCTAATAATGTGTTCAGCTTTACAATGTACTGTCATTTATTCTCTGTTGCTTTCAGCATTTTCTGGAGGCATCATCTGCACACAAGTCCTACAGTGTTAAATTCAGTCTTGTCGCTAATCTGTTTTTACTGTTGGATGGAATATTTATGTGCAGCTTTCCTGTTCTAAGTAAATGCATACAATAAGTAATAAATTTTAATACAAAATACAATAGACAAAACTTTCTTGGGAAAAGATAACCTGCTTTCTACACCAGACTAAGATCGGGTTCTGGCTTGCTTGTGTATGCAGTACGCTCTGAGACCTTTGATTCAAGGAGCTATTGTTGTGTTACTTACTTGATTGTGCATACAAATGCATGTTTGCTTGCAGCTGAATAATCAAGCTTCATGCTTAAGAAGGTAAGCATCTGCAGATGATGGGAACAGCAGTCCTCAGGAGAAGATGAGGTGTTGGAAAAGAAATAAGTAGGACCTGGACTGAAAGACTTGCAGGTCTATTTTGGCCAGCAACTCCCAAGCTGGTGATGGGTACTGTCACTGAACTTTCACATCTACATTCTGTTAGAAATTTCTTTATTATTGGCCTGGCAGCCTTTTTGATCTCAGCATTTAGGCTAGTGGCTGATAAAGTTCTTAGAGGCAGCATCAGGTTAGCATTGAAATATCTTTGCAGGCAGTGTGGGGAAGCCTACATTGCCCTGATAAAGCATTCTTAGGTATTTCAGTACCAGCAGGGAGCATTAAAAGTAGCACATTAAACTGCTTGCCAGGCTCTTTGAAGCACACAGATAAAAAAAAAATTAATCTTCTTTATTCTGGATCTCCCACTCCCATCTGCAGCATCTACAGTAAGTACAAAATCTGTGTCAACACCAGGATCTCTGCAACGATCCCGCAGTGACGTCGATGTGAATGCAGCAGCTAGTGCCAAGTCAAAAGTGACGTCTTCTGGATCATCCACCCCCTTCAGTTCTGCTGCAGCCTTGCCCCCAGGCTCATACGCATCACTAGGTAAATCTACGTGTTCTACTCTTGCAGTTAGCTTTCTTTGCTAGTAGAAAGTGCCTCATAGTTTTATTTGAATATTGAACTCTTAACTAGAAGAACGTATCCCTGAGATAGTTACCAGCTCTCTAGGATCAGTGTGTGATCTCTTGCCCTTTGGGATTAAGGAAAAAGTTTGGAACAGAACTGACTTGAAGCAACTTCTTAGGTTTTGAATGGTTTAATAGTCTGTGTCTCATTCTTCCTTCTGGGGAAAAGCAGATCTTACTATGATTCTGAGACGTTGAGGACTGCTCAATTCCTTTTGACATGTCCCTCTGTCTCTTTTCCTTATCTTCCTTCCCTCCTTTCCTGAAACTGGTTTTCTGTTAACTGCTTTATCTTTTGAGTAGTACATCTTAGTTGAGTTTGACTGCTTTCTGTTTTACGAAAGAGAGATGTAAAAACAAAGAGAAGTCATCTGCCTTCTAATTTCATCATGCACATATAAGTATCTGTTTCTTATGCTGACTCTTTCTGGCCTATAGCCACACGTCACATTATTCTCTCAGAGCATTGCGTATCACTTTCAGGTGCCTCAGGGGTTCTTACAACAAAGCTTGCATTTGATCTTTCTCTCTTCAAGATGCCATTGAAGGAGGCATGGAGGAGGAAATGCAAGGTGGTGATTGACACCATACTTGCAGAGCTTCAACTCGGTTATGATCAGCTCAACAGAGCTGATTTCATTGATTTACAAGAGGGAGAAAAATCAGAAATCGGTGATCTTGATTTAAGCTGTGTAGATTGTCTTCACTGAGTTGAGAAGTGTCTTCTCCTTACTGTAGGGCATTTGATCTTTAGTCTGCTAAAACATACTTGATGAATTACATAGGGGTGGTTTCTATAGATTCCTTTTGTGGACAGGTTTCTTTCATATTTGAAATGTTTTACCTTGGCTTAAATATGTTGGTTGCATTTGGTTCAGCAGTTGAATTCTTATTCTGACTTAAATTATTCATTCTTGGTTCAAGATTTAGAAAATGCAATACAGAACATGAAGTTGATCAATAATAGCATGCTTTCGAGCTTACAGATGCAACTGTTTTTCAGTCAGTGCTGTGTACTGGCTTCAGTGGCAAAACTCCTTTTGAACAATTTTCTGTTATGAAGAAGAACGGAAAAGGGTGGGAAGTATCTACTAATGTTGGCTTGGTCCTTGAAGCCAGGGACTGAATACAGCGTTAGTCTTGGTCTTAAAAGAGACTGTAGCAGAAAACCAGCATTATTTTTAACTGAAGCAAATGTGGTACTTCTGAAGGGCCTGCTTTCTCTTTGATCTAGTAGGGACGCTTTTCACCTGTGTGTGCCCATGAGAGAAGTGGAGAGACAAACAATGAAAATGGAGTTTGGCAAAGATTAATTATTGCAGGAGGGAAAACCTGGAAGCATCTTCTTCAGAAACATCAAGCTGCTCAAACTTCTTTCATTTATTTGTGTTATTTTTTTTTTTTTGCATATTTCTGTAGCTAATATATAGTGCCCACTTCTGTTGATGTTACTAATTTTCCTTATTAACCCTTTCCTTGTTGTTTTTTTTTTTTTTTTTAATTTGCCTAAAGATGGTACTACCACTAAAACTGAGGGTAAGCAGTCTCTCTGTGTAACTGAGGTGTGTCCACAGTTGTACCACCCTACCTGGTCTCTGTTCTCAAAGTGTTATCTGGTTCTCATCCATGTTCACTGGTGACCTGCATGAGGTGTTGCATGGTTGTCCTGCTCATTTTGATGCCATGGGGTATTCTTCACTTTCTCTTTGAGCTCCTCCCTGGTAACAGGCACCAGTCTGCTTTTGTGACTTGGCTTCTGATAATAAAGTTGTATGTGGGTTTTTGTATTTAAAGGACTGTTTTTGGTTGAAGGTGACCTGTGCACAGATTAAAAAAGAAAACAAAACACAAAAAAACCCAACCAACCCAACACCCGGCTTGTGTTTTCTTGCTCCGCGATGTGTAAAGGTTTGCTGTGTTTTTCCATCCAAAGTTCAGGTCACAACTGCCAAATGCTTTCGGGAAGACTGGGCAGTGAGAAAATTGAATGAGATGATCACATGGCAGAAAAATGAGGACAGTAAACAATGATCTCTAAGGAGGGAATATTTAGTCAACCTCTTTAAACCTGAGCTCTTTTTGTTGTCAGCTGAGTGAGATGGCTTACATCTAAGACAGTTAGAGGAAAGGCTTTTTTTTCAAGAACACCGAGCCTGCTAGTTTGCATGGGCTTCCAGTCTGTTTTTTCTGGCTCCTTGTCAAAGCTTGTTCTTTATTATTTCTCAAGTGAAAAAGATCACTGGGAAATCAGTTTTCCTGAGGTAGACAGGAGTTGAAAACAAGAATGTCTCCTAGATAGAATGAACCCCCCCCCCCCCATGCTTCCAAACCCATTTTTTCCTGATGCAAGTCTCTTTTCAAGGGATCTATTACTGTCTTGTTGACTGTGCTCGTATCCTTGATGGCTGCTTGTATTTGGATGTGGTGGTCTGAGAAGTGCCACTGTGTGCTTTTGTGATGTCTGTGTTTTCGTTACTATTATTGAGGCGTTGATTTATTATCTAGAGGGGAAGGTCTCTACCATTTTTGGAACTGATACAATGTTGAGAGATGCACTGGCTTTGCATTATGGGCAAGTGTTTGTGTTTTGTGATCTGTCAGTGATAAGGAATATGAGGTCGGCCTAAACACCTGTATTTCTAAATCAGTAGTTTATTAGATGAGAGTTCCAAATTGTTGCAATACTGAGCTTTTTTTTTATTCATTGCTGACCCTTCTTTATTTTCTTCCTTTCTTCCCAGTTTTCAAACCTTTCTATTTTTGACCTAACTTTGAAATGTTAATCTGTTGAAATTTAATTGACGTTTGATGTTAATTTATGAAATATCTTATGCATCTCAATCCTCTCCTAGGATAATAATATCTGTGGAGGCTTCTTATAATAGTTGTCCTCTGGGATACCTTTATTTTTAGTAAATGCTTCATTGTCATAATGCAGAAAGGTGAGGATTTTTATTTGATTTGGGGTTTGGTTTTGTTTTGTTTTTTCAGTTCAGCTACACTGAAAGCAGGTTGGAGTTGGTAAAAATCTGTAAAACCTGCTTGAACTTCATAAAGACTTTTGACATTGTCTGTTTCTCATGAAGTCTTCATAGGCAAGCCCAGGAAGTGCAGGCTGGATGAGCAGATGGCAAGACAAGTCTTAGTAGATGGCAACCCAGGTCTTAGGGTTATGATCAGTGGCACAGAGTCTAGTGGGAGACTGTAGCTAGTGGTGTCCCTTGAGGGTCAGTACTGGGTCCAGTATTAGAATCATAGAATAGTTTGGGTTGGAAAGGACCTTAAGATCATCTAGTTCCAGCCCCCTGCTATGGGTATTGTTTAAGTTATTCTTGGATTAAGGGATAGAGAGTACCCTCAGCAAGTTTGCTGATGCTACGAAACTGGTAGGAGCAGATGGTACCCCAGAGTGCTGCCCTGTTATTCAGAAGGATCTAGACAGGCTGGAGAGATGAGCAGAGGAACATGTTGAAATTCAGCAGACAAGTGCAGGGCCCTGCACCTGTGGAGGAATTATCCCCTGTATCAGTACAGGCTGAGGGCTGATCTGCTGGAAGGTAGCTCTGCAGAGAGGGACCTGGGGATCCTGGGAGTCCTGGTGGACAGCAAGTTGTCAATGAGCCAGCAGTGTGCCCCCATGGCGAAGAAGGCCAATGGGCTGCATTACGAAGAGTGTGGCCAGCAAGTCAGGGAGTCTCTACTCAGCCCTGGTGAGGCCTCACCTGGAATACTGTGTCCAGTTCCAGGCTCCCCAGTACAATGGAGACATGGAGCTCATGAAACAAGTCCAGGGAAGGGCTACTAGAATGATTCGGGGTCTGGTGCATCTCTCTTCAGAGGAAATGCTGAGGGAGCTGGGCCTGTTTGGCAAAGAGGAGGCTCAGGGGGAATCTGATCAATGTAGGTAAGTATCTGAAAGGCAGGTGTCAAGAGGATGGGACCAGGCTCCTCTCAGTGGTGCCAGGTGATAGATAGGGTAAGAGGAAACACGCATAAACGAAAGCACAGGAAGTTCTGCCTGAATATGAGGAAGAACTTTACTGTGAGGGTGACTGAGCATTGGAATAGGTTGCCCACAGAAGTTGTGGAGTCTCCTGCTCTGGAGATATTCAGGAGCTGTTTGGACGCAATCCTGAATAATGTGCTCAAGGAGAACCTGCTTGAACAGGGAGGTTGGACTAGATGACCTCTGGTGGTCCCTTCCAGCCTCAACTATTCTGTGAACTGAAACATAAGTCACTTGAAGTCAAAGACTGTGAGATGAACTTTCAGAAATGGAGTTCTCCCTCCCCTTAGTGCAAAATACCAGATCTCATCTCTTCTTTTTCCTGTAGGATTTTCTATTTTTTGGAAGACTGAAGATCAGGGAGAGTTACAACAACATGGCACACCACAGCTAGAGCATGTGAAGGATGAGTTTAATCACTGTATGAAACTCTTCGTCTTTGTTTTCCTTTGAGACACTTGTGGGAAAAACAGCTTTTGTTCAAGATTCAGTGTGTCCTACAGATGAGAGCTGAGAAAGGTCTTCTGCCAAGTCTCTCATCTTGCAGAGTTTGTCAGTAACTACAAGGAAGGCAAAACTTCTTTCTTGACATAAATGTAAAAAATAAGAGGGCAGGGGAAGAGAAAAAACATCCCCTTGCTCTGGAAATACCTGTGTGAGCAAGAGACACTGTTGGAACATAAACCAGAAATTCCATCCACATTTGTGTCCCTGTATTTTTTTATTTTTTTTTTTTTTTCAGGTCACCAGTAAGTCATTTGAGAGCAAATCCCTGTGGGTTTTTGTCTGGTTCAGCCTGATGTTAAATCTGCAGTCTGGTTCCCATCATGGCTTTGTGTAGCTACAGTGTAAAAGTTCTGCACCTTCCCCTCAGCCAGGAGCCAGCATTGTGCAAACTTGGCAGTTCCCATCTGCTTGCCCTCGGTTCTCCTCAGTGTTTTGGTTTTGAGTCAGGCATCTAAAAACAGGAGCAAGGTAGAGTGGGTTATGCCAGTGGCAAGAATTCAAGAGCTGAGTCCGTTGATTTTTAAGCAGCGTCACCCCAATTGACAAATGCTGTTGAAATGAGCTTCCTTCTGTGAATCTATATATTCCTTAAATCTGTGCAGGTCTTCTGCTGTCTTTCTGCTGTGAGGCTGTATCTTCATATGATGCACCATTTTGTCTTGATTGCCCAGATGTATGGGAATCTCTTTAAGAGCTTTGCAGGTAGAAAGCTTGTAAGTTCCAAATCTTCATAGTCTAGATCAGGACTTCACAGCTAGTATTATGCAGGTAGCAGCTGTGCCATGTTTGTTATGCCTGATTAAAAGGAAACCTTAGAAAAAGCTTCTGCTTGTTTTATCATGAAATGGCTTTTCAAGGAATATTTTTTGAAAGGTGCATAATGATGACTTTCATTACAGAATAATGGTCCAGAGCCTTTGTTATCTGGTTACCTTATCTCAAAGTGGGTATAAAGACAAGCCTTTCCCACGAGGGAAATGCTGGTCTGTTGTGAAGGTGGCAAGTTTAAACCAAAATCAGCAGTTTTCAGAGTCAGTGGCACAGGTGGTTTTTTTTGATAGTTTTTATTATTCATCAGAAAGGAAATAAAATCTGGTTTATTATTGTTTTCAGATAACTTCAGCTCAAAAAGATGATCTGCTCAGTTGGACATCTTGAGCACCTTACCAAAGGCTTTGGGAGTAACACAGATTGTAAGAAATTCCTGTTTTCTTTTCTGCCTTAAAGCTCTCCCTTGTCCTCAAGGGGCAAGGCTGGATTCAAAGGTATGACTGAATGTTGTACCTTAAATGGAAACGCTCAGGTAGAGGGCTTCTTTGTTCTCTTGGTCCATCCCTTTGCAAGTACTGACTTGATTTGCCTGTGCATGTTGGTGTAAGGCAAGGTGGTGGCACTGTTGTTCTCTTATCCCTCTGCTTTGGAGGGAGTTCTCATGCAAAACCTAGAAACGGCATACATTGATGGTTTCCAGTAAGGGTTGACTGCTTCTCAGAGGAAATTATGGTGCAGAGTCAGGTCTTACGCTAGTATGATGTTGGACACATGCTAAATAAACATAGAAACTATTCCAGGAGTGGAATAGTTTATCCTTAAAGCATATTTTTTCATTGATGTGCGTGTGTGTGTGTGTGTGTGTGCGTGTGTGTGTGTGTGTGTGTGTCAGATGTCCATGTGTCATTTAGCAGTGACACAGCTAGGGGGGGTCCTAGAGGCTGTTTTAACAATGTTTTTCTTTAAGTGGGGGAAATAACCCAGTGCTGAGTAACCTAAATGCGTTAACCTGGTCCATAGTGAGACCATTACTGTCCCAGTGGTTCTATATATAACTTGTATGGTTATATATATATCACTATTTACAGCATGGAATGAGTTATACTGAGTTGTGGAGCTGTGATATACAATTTTTAGATTATATGAAACAATTTTCTTCAGTGTGATATACAGGCTGTGTCTCATAAAGCCAATGTCTGTTCTGGGCACTGGGGATGAAGATACTGCAGTACCCACCCAGGGTTGCTCAGAGCAGTGCTGCCAGATGAAGCCTCTTGTAACACAGAAACATTAACATACGACTCTTCCTTCACTTTTTCCTTTTCTTTAAAAGGAAGACTAAAACAACCTTCCTAGGCTTAGGCAGATGTTAGACATTTCAGGGTTGACTCTGATCCATTGATTGTTGTAAAAATGTAAATTAAAGTAACTTTAAAAAATAAAACCAAAACCTCCTAAACCCCCCTCCACAAATGGTTTCTTAACAAAAAGCATGGAGCCTTTCAAGATATTCCATGTACCAACAGTAATGTGTCACATGTTGAATTTAGGTCAGTGGCTTTTTTATGGAAATACTTGTGTGTTTTTTGGGGACAGTTGGGACGGTCTTTGTCCTTTTGCTGCTGTTGTCAGGATACAGTAATCCTTTTAAAAGCAGCAGAAAAATAATGGTTATGAAATATGAATTGCTACATGTGCAGTTTGAGCTAGATATGGAAACAAACCCACTTGAAAGCAAAGAAGTTTTGGTGTTTCCTTAGTTTTAACAACAAGAGAAACTCTCAGTAATTTATTTGTTATGTTACTTCTAGTCCTGATTGCAACTAGTTTTTCTGTCTGAGGTAAAATCATAAAGACAACACAAGTAGTCCTATGTGCAAATAACTCTTGGATGTGAATGCAGTCTTGTTTGCAGGCGAAATTCTTCAGGGAATGTACTAGAGACACTTTATTATATAGATGAGCTTCTATATATACATGCTGTACTTGGCGTAATATATATTAAAATACTGGTATTTTTCAAGCCAGACAAATCTTGATTCGTCTTGCATTATGATAAAGCAAATAGGTTTTGGATATTATAAGACTAATGTAAAAGTTGTGTACGTGAAGCTAAGTTTACATGTAGAATCATAGAACCATAGAATAGTTAGGGTTGGAAGGGACCTTAAGATCATCTAGTTCCAGCCCCCCTGCCATGGTCAGGGACACCTCACACTAAACCATGCCACCTAAGACTCTGTCCAACCTGGCCTTGAACACCGCCAGGGATGGAGCATTCACAACTTCCCTGGGCAACCCATTCCAGTGCCTCACCACTAGTAACATCCTAGATCTCTCTAAAGATTTTCTATCTCATACAGATTTGCCTAAAGCAATTTTGAATTCCAGCTGGTCTTTTTTTTTTTGTTTTACACCTAGAAGCTCTGGTTTGGATAGAGAAGGCTCAGCATCTTAACCTTTTTTGCTTGAAGAGTAGCTTCAAGTGACTTTCTTTGAACTATTTATCTGCTGCAAGTAAGATTAATTACCTGTATGAAGAAAGTTCATGCTTCAAGGAATACATACAACTGATGGCACTTTTTGCTTGTAACTGTGTTAAGACTTTGACCTTGAATTTGTAGTTTATCCCATAGACTAAAAAATAAAGTACTCTTGGGGTGAGCTGTTTCTGTGCAATTGCAGGATTTGTACCATTATGTCATTCTTGCATCATGAATTTCTGGTTTCTGCTGTTCCTGTTACTTGTGTGATGCATGTCCAGTGCAGTGTGAGTTTAAACCCTTGTCAGCCTTTTTCGAAGGATGGGAAAACCAGTATCAGTGTTGGGACTCTGTTTGTCCTGTGCAAGAGCAACTTTTTGTCTCTCACTTTTCTCTCTGACACCCATTAGGCCCAAATCAGTGTGTAAATCTACGAGTCCAAAAGAAAGCAGAATTTTGTTCCTGGGTATTCATTTATTCAGAAGCTGCTGAAGTTGATAGGGTCTGTCTGCTAACTCTCAGGGGTTTCGAAATAAGGCTGAGCTCTCTGTTTCTAATCCTGCTGATACTCCCATGTTAATCAAGTTTGACCCTTTAGTTCAGTGTTCTTTCTTAAAGTCCCCCGAATTGATATTAGAAGTTAATCTTAGCTTCTGTTTATATTTCTTTGGGCTTTGGATTTCCTAGGGTGGAAGAGTCACTTATTGCATATTGTTCCAGTTATAGGTGCAGAAAAAACAGAAATTTTTGAGGATCTTGTGGCCTGTGCAGAAGAGGAGGAGACATTATCAGTCCCTTCTCACCCATTGGCCCATACTCATGGCTTCCAATATTGTCAGTTACTGTGTGTAATGTTAAATTTCAGCTTGATTTACCTCCGGGACTCTGCAATGCCAAGGCCTCCTCTTGACATTCTGGAGGGATGTAAGTTAATTCCATTGCTGGTTCCTAAGACTGGGCAGGTTTAACTTCCTGACTTACTGTTTTGTACTCCTGCCACCAGAGATGCCCTCTTGGTGTGGGAAACAAAAGGAAGCCTTGAGGCTTCTGACAAGAGCGTGAGGTCCTTCTGCCGCCTTCCCTATGTATGCCTGCTTTGAACCGTATGGTAGGGCTTGGGGTATAAGCCTTGCGGCAAGATGCCCAGTGACTCCACTCACCTGTGTGTAGCTGTGCTTGTGCCAAACCTGAGAGGGAAGGGAATGAGCCAGCAGAGAGCCCTAGAGTTATGTCTGGTCATCTGTCAGGCAGACTGTAAGAGGCAAGTAATGTCATAGAGCAGAGGAGACTTACAGCATTGCTGGTGGTAAGACCATCTTAGCAGCCAGTTTCATGACTGTTATTCCTGTGTGGACATGCTCAGAGCTTGTTTAGTTGAGCCAGCCGTTAAAAAGTGGTTTGTCTGTATTTTCCCAGTTTTACATTAAGGATTTCTGCCATGCCTTGTTTGCAAACATTGTTTGAATGTAGATATCTGCATTTTACCTATTGAGTTACTTTAAAATGAGATGCTGATAGAGAGGTCTGAAGTCTGCTAGGCTTTTTTTCCTGCAAACAAGTTTAAGCTTTCTTCTCATAGTTAAACATCTCTTTGTCACTTTGTGTCTTATCAAAAACTTGCAGACCATGTTGCGAATATTTTGAGATCTCGGAGACGAACAGAGCTCTCAATCCGTTCAGCCTGGGCTGCTTGCCATTGTCTTGTCCTGCATGTGTACCTTATGTGAAGTAATTATTTTTTTTTGGGGGGGGGGGGGAGTATATATCTTCATATTTCTCTGTATGCTTACGGTGGAGACAGAGGGCAGGAGATGAATATCTGTAACCAGTGGGTGCAGTTGTCTAGACTCTTCTCTTACCTGTTGTGGTTTTTTTCCTTTTATTCTTGTGCCTGAAACTTGAAATCATTCTCTGAATGCAGGATAGCACTGGCAGGAGTCCTGAGAAACAGCTTCAGATTTGGCTGAGAACAAAGTTGTTGAAAAGTACTGGAGGCTTTCTTTGTGTTGCTCTTAATTATCATTTCTTTCCCATTAACTAGAGACAGATAATAGAAGCTTAGCGCTGGAAAGAACATTTTGTAGGGAACAGCCCTGCCCCAGGAAGGGGATGAACTGATGACCCTGTAAGCTTTTCTAGCTCAAATTTCTGTGGCTTTTTTTTATGAGGAAAGGACAGAAGAAGGACCAAGAACACTTTGAGGCTTTATATCCATTCTCTGCTTAAATAAAAAGGAGACACACAGAATCATTTTTCCACAATGTTGATTGTGTTAAATGGGACTCACTGTTACAAGTAAAGTTAGACTGATCTCGGGATAAATACAAGGGATCTGTAAACAGTGGGGAAAATTAAATGGGCCTGAAATAAAAGCGTAGTCAGGCTGCACTGACAGACTCTCACAGGAGCACATGTCAGCCTGCGCATGTAGAGCAGGATATAGAGCATCAAACTGCTAATTGGAAATGCCAGCAATGGAATTTGTGGGGGCATCTGTCACACCTGTCTCTGCAAGAGTGATCGCCTTGCCAGAAAGTAATAATTTGATACAGGAAGCAGCATTTAGGAGGCTGAAATTTTTGTTGCTGATCCTTTGTAAAGAATCTACTATAGAACAGAAGCAAAGGGTATAGAGGGGTAATGTTTTTTAATTAAACTGGCTGATAGCATTACAGAAAGCAAAGAAGTCTTTGGAGTCATGGACCATAACTCTTTCCACACCCTCCCTTATGTCTCAGCCAGTCTAATAAAAGATGTTGCCTCTCTCTGTAAAATTCTTTTGTACCCTTGTTAATTGTGTGTATAGCAACCCTGCAAGCATAGGGCAGCACATTAGACACAGCTGCTGCCTTTGGAAGAAATCTGTTAACACTTTGATTGTCTTTGCATTCCTCCAGGTCGGATTCGTACAAGGAGACAGAGCTCTGGCAGTGCCACAAGCGTCACCTCAATGCCTGCTGATACCCGAGGCCGCAGCCGGGCTAAAGTAGTTTCCCAGTCCCAGCGTAAGAAGTGTTTTATTTCTGGGGGAGCAGAACAAATAATTATTAATATATTTATCTTGAATTATAGTAGCATCAGCTGTTGATGGGGCTCAATTCTGCTAATGACATTTGGACATGTGACAAAATGAATCCCTACTCAGACAGTCTGTGCTCTTGCTGACAAATAGGGCCCCAAATAGTGCTTAGTTGCTGCCTTTTTTTTTTTTTTCCCCATGTGTTTTACCAGCAGAATTTCATGTTGCTGTGATGTGTAGGATTAAACTTGCACTGGGTCCCACTGAGACACCCTCTGTGTCTGACTGCTGTCCTGGGTTCTTGCCCTGCCAAGCTTCTGCTGCTTATGTGACTGTATCGCTGTATGTGTAACATGTGAGCTGTCTAAAGTTAATGGGATTTGGCATCAATTTGAAATAGGACATCACCTATTTTGAGTAGATACAGGAGAGGTCGTTCTGCTCTCTGGCTTCCTGGCAAAGGCTTGGTTTTCCCTTAGGAGCCATACATAGGGTGCTGCTGCATATTTGTCATGTGTTTCTAAGGAGAAGTTTGTCACTTAAAATTTAAAAGGAATTGGGGAAAGGGAGAAAGCCACTCATGTTTTGAGGACCTTCAAGCTTGTGGGTAAGAGGAGATGAGGTTTGTAGAAAGACCTGTTTGTTCTGAGGACTTGTCTTGCTTTGTACCCTTATTTAAAAGCCCTTTTCTGTTCATTCTCTCATTGCTTTGCTCTTGTCATGCTGGAGGGATGGAAAAGCAGTTTATAGCCTTGTGTTAGGCTGGGAGAGCTGAAGAAGGAAGTAGTATATTCAGGATGGGGCCAAATGGAAATCTTTACATTGAAGTCATGAAGGAATTATGGCTTTGGTATGCTCATCTAAATTGATTTCTTCGGTTTGGAACCTAAAACTGATCTAAAGCCAGAAATGGCTTTTTTTCCTGAAATTAGCTTGGTGAAAAGTGATCAAACCAGATGAGACAAGTCTCAGAAGTATTTAAAGAATAGTTGAGTATCCAAAGGTTTCAAAGACTATGGGCTTAATTGCTCTTATAGAATGACTTATGAAGGTTTAGGATGGTCATATCTGGATCAGCCTTAGACTTGCTTGCTGAATCCTGTTTCCAGCCTAGCCCAATGAGATGTGATCTCTATCCTTAAGCCAGACATTGCTTGAAATAACTTATGAATTCAAATATGCTATGGACACAGGACCAAATTCTCCTTGCCCACACAGTGGATAACTTATGAATTCAAATATGCCTATGAATTCAAATATGAAATAACTTATGAATTCAAATATGCTACGGACACAGGACCAAATTCTTCTTGCCCACACAGTGGATAACCCTGTTGCAATTTTGCAGACTGGGCAGGGGTGTAAATTAGAGCAGAACTTGAGTCTGGGTGTGTTGGTTAACATTTAGCTAAGAAAAGTTGATCAACCTTGGGAAATTCTTAGTTGCATCTGCACATTAACTCACTGAATTCTGCAGAGGCTTTGGGAGTGACGTGTTTGTAAATAAATCTGTCTGTATTGTGTATAGCATAAATGGCATGCTGAACGCTGTATTGTCTTGCTGTCTTTTAATCCACTTTTTGCCTGTCCTTTGGTCTGCCCTCATAATCAAGGATCCAGATCAGCTAATCCTGCTGGTGGTAAGAAACATTTTCCCTTTCTTGCTTTCTCACTTTATTTCCTTCACATTTTTTAACTGCTAAGCTTTTAGCTTGTTTCCCTCACACTCTCCTAACAATGAGACTTAAAAAGCACTTTCTTAAAGTCATAAATCCAAATGTGTATGGCAAGTGATTTTGCTTTCTTAAAGTAATCAAACATAGTAAGCATACATTTAGCATATTGAAGCTGGCTCACTGCTGCAGCTGAAACCCTAGGTGCTATATTTTTTTCCAGATACTTCAGTGCAACCCTGCTGACCTTCTGGTGCAAACCTGCTGAGTGAGATTGCTCAGTGTAACTGAGAAGAGTCTTGGCTTTAGGTTGTGGATGCTGTGCGTGAGACTGGCATCTGTCACAAGTATTCTCACTCTAGGGGGGATATGTGAGCAAAGCCAGCACCACATATAATACTGAAATATGTTATTTGATTGACATAGAATGGCTTTGGCCAAGAAATTGGAAAGGGCAAGTAAGTAAAAATAATGCATATGTTATGGTGTTGTCCATGAGATCAATAGAATTGCGTATCTTCTTAAATTAAGACAGCAGAACAATATTTAACTCTAGCTGGGTGTAATAGTATCTGGAACTGAAATTTTTTTAACGTGTAGATACTTTTTATGAAAAACCCAACATGAATATTGGGTCAGAATGTAAATGTTCAAATGTTTTTGCCCAAAAATGTTCTTGCAACCTTTTCAAATACACTTCTCCTGGCTGTTTCAGCAAGCAAATTGAATATCAGCAATAGTAGTATCACCAGCAAATTTTCAGTGACATGTATATACCTCAAGAAGAAAAGAGATTCTTGAATTTATTACTCGCAGTTCTTTATGACTAACTTTAAGCTGCCATTACTTCCTTTTTTAACAACTTGTCAAATGAAAATCCACAGGTTAAAAAAGAGTATTCTTCAGCTCATTGAGTTAGACAGAAAGACTGTTTCAGATAGAAATACTTACTGCAGCTGGAATGTAAAAACATAAACAAAAATCTTAGTCAGTAGATTGTCTTGCAGACAGTGTGGCTTAGAAGAAATGTGGCCTTGCTGTGGACTGTTCAGACAAGGAAAAATGAACCAGACCAACTACTCAACTTGCTAAAAATTTTCTCCAGCTGAAAAATAACTAAATAGCTTAGGTTTGACGAGTCAGACCTGAGTAAGGCAGCATCCCTACAAATGTGATGTGCTCATGTGGTTTGCCCCTTATTGTGCTGATCTGCTTCTGTTATTGTAAGAAAGTAATGCCACCACTGCAGTGTAGCTTGAAGGTGCCTGAGCTACACTGCACCAAATTATTACCTGTGCCAGAAGCCAGCATGCTGCAGCACAGCTCTCCACATGGGCTAATTTGTGTTGCTTCCCAAGGAGGTGAAGCAGGCTGTGAATTCCATGTTGCTCCAGCAAGGCTGCTTCTGGCAGCTCTGCAAGCTTGCCCAGAGCCAGCTGGGGTATTCATACACTGCAGTGTCTGCTTTGGTCTTGAACCCACCTGAGCATCATGGTTCATATAAGCAGGGTTGCTGATGCTAGTGTTTATTGTCCATGAGCTTTCCTCTGTCTTCTTTGAAAGCCCATGGGGAGCACTCACATTAGTTTTCTGAGTGATTTGGATCAAATTCTTAGAGCTGATTGTGTTCCAATTTTGCTGTCATGGTATTTAATCTTGAGGGAGTTTTTTATGGTTTTTCTTTGGTGGTTGTTGGTTTTTTAACTTATTTGTGGTTCTCTTCTAGCTGGTAGCCGGTCCAGTTCCCCGGGTAAGCTCTTAGGAAGCGCCTATGGTGGCCTGAGTGGTGGAACATCCAGAGTCCAGCCGGTGCCATCATCTTCAGAGAAGCGCAGCAAGATCCCTCGGAGCCAGGGATGCAGTCGAGAGACGAGTCCCAGCAGAATAGGACTAGGTAAGAATAGCCACTGCAGCGGTGTACTGACAGGCGTGATTGAAGGAGGAACTTTCCTCTTGACTAGGAAACTGTTTATGTGTTACTGTTATTCTTCTGAGTTTTTCAGCTGGCAAGTTAATGTCATTGTGGTTTGTAGGAGAATAATTTTAATTTTCCAGGTTGAGCTATAGTTTCAAAGTAAGCCTAAAGATGTCATGAGATGTCTTCTGTTTGAAGTTCAATGTGAGCAATGTTATTAGATCAGGCAGCAAAAACAGTTGTCACGAATAATCATTGCAGTAAAAATACCTCATTTGACATCAACAGCTTAGTCTTAAAATGAATTAAGCAGTCTTTACAGTCAGTTGGAATGAAGGGCAAAAAGCACCTTCTTGGATTATTTTTAGAAATTTTGCATCTTAAATCCTTTGCCTCTGTCACCCTTAACATTTGGAGCCACTGTTAGGTGGCATTTTAGACTTATGCTTTAATCGCTCTGCGCCCAATATTCTTGTTTCAGTGACTGTTATGTAAATATTATATAATAGTTTTTATTTTCAAATTTATCAGCAGACTCTTTTTAAGTCAGGTGAGTAAGTAAGCATCGTTATATATAAACTTTTGTGTATCTGAATGAGGTGAAAAGGTGTTCAGTGTGCTGTCTGAAGAATAAGTAAATACTGTTTTCATTTTTAAATGGAAATGTTTTCCTGAGTTTGAAGCTTATGTAGAAGACCAACACTTTAATACTGCTTACTAAATTATTTTATAACTCCAGAGAATTCACTAGTAGGTTGAAATTGATTGAAATTATAGTCCTACTGTTGTCAGTTAAATTTTTAATTATTGCCTTGGCAGTTGTATTTTACATTTAAGCTACCTTTCTATCTAGAATATGTTTTCAGTAGAGAAGTATCTTATTAATACTCCAAGTACATTGAAATGAATTTAAAGCACCTGAGTGCATATGTGGTTATGATACATTTAAAAGTTGCATGTTCATTGTGATTTATTTTTCCAAATTCAGTGTTCTTCTCATTTCTGATGTATTTTATTGGCTTCTGTGTTAACACATTGTGCTTTTCTGTTCATTGCTTTTAAAATATAAAGTGCCTCCCAAATATTAGAGGTAATTGTCCTGCTATCACGCTGCAGAAGAACACTATTTTTTTTAGGGGGAAACGAAAAATGATGCACAGTACCATCATACATGCTTAAACTGATCATCACATTATGTAGTCTGATTTGGATCAGTCTTGAGCATCTAAAGGGAAATCGCTATGTGTAAAATCCTCACTCTTGGGTTGCCTGCTTTCAGGTATATTATGGGAGCCTTGAATTCTTTTGAAAGTGTGATTCATATCTCACTGCTCTGTTGTGCTCCCTGTGAATAGTCAGTGCCTTGTTCTTTGCGAGCGGGAGAGAACATTGAGAGATCAATCAGCTGTGTGTCTTCCATGCACCCCCCCTCCCTGGGGTTGATGGCCACAGCATGTTCTTTTGGGCTGTTACGGGAGCAGGAGAGTACAACACTTCTATTGCCTTTACTACTCAGTTGCAGGAATTCTGCCTCTTTTGAATCTTGAAAATGGTAATATTGGCTTGGATGGAAGGTAGCTTTTGAGCTGTCTTCTTTATACCATTATTCGTTTGTATTTATAACATAGTAGCTAACAGTATTTTATGCTTCCTTATTGTGTTGCTTCAGTCCCTGTCTTTCCTTGGCATATTTTTCATTTTTCCATTTGTTCATTTCATTAAAGAGACTCCCACTCACCTTCGTCTTAAATATATCAATAGACTTTTTCAGTGTCTGATGTGCTCGAGTGCACATTGCAGTGCAGCTGGTGTTGAACCATTGTGCAGATCAGGCTGTTAGAAGTGGGTAATTCCTGGATCCTGCTCATTACTCATCCATGGATACGTAGTTTTTGTAGGGGTGACTGGGAGTTGCAGCTTGACCAATGCTGTGTGTGAAGATTAAGCACACAGAATGTGGGTCCCTGTGTGCAGTTGGGCTTTATACATGAACCATTTGCTGGAGTTTTTCAGGCCCTTCTGAGGCAGTGACAACTTAATAGAGCCTCTGCATGTGGATGCTCTTTAGATTTCCATGATGACCACAGATATCTATGAAATGTGTTCCTTCTGTATTCTGGAAACCTTGAAGTAGTACATTGTTTTCCAAGAGGCAGCACACTGAGGTGTGTTTGGTATGCTGAGGTCCTGCGTGGTCACCTACAGGGCCCTGTTCTGTAGTGCTTTAAACTTGCCTTTGCTGTCTGCTCAGGGGAGGTTTACTAGCAGCAATAACCTCTTGGGGAAGGAAGAGTATAGTCCACTTAATCTCAAGTTTTACTTTGGACCCCTTAAAGGGTACCGCCTCAAAAAAAGGTAATGTCTAATTCCCATGGATTGAAAGTTTATCTGCCTGAAGCTATTTTATTTTTTTTTTGGATGCTCAGCAGATTATGTGGCACAATTGGATCTGAAAGGAGTGAGAGATTTGAAATTGTCATTCTCCAAAAAGTGAAGCAGGCACAGCTGGCTCTCAATTTCATGCAGCAGCACTCCTTCTGTTGCGGTTATGCTATGTGTGTTTATTGGAAAGCTGAAGGCAGTTCTTGACTTGCTTCTACTGGGTGTACCCCACTGCAGAGCTTTCCTTTGGTTGTTTTAGCAGCTTTTATAGGCTCTTTAAAATGCTTGCATTGATGTAAAGGAAGCATCTGCTGATTTTTAGTCTCCACTTAAGAATCATAAAAAATCACACCCTAGTGAAATACAGGTTTCTTCCAAGTGGTAGATTGGTAAACAGGGGCACTACTGAGTTCTGCTGGTGGGATTTCTGTCTGTTGGGTTCCACTGGTGTCAGACAGCCTAATAGTGTGTTTTAGTAATGGTGTGAACAGTATCCAATTGCTTTTGATGTTCTGGATGAAATTGGTGAAACTTAGATGTACAGGACACATTTAGAAAGCTGGGATTTTACTGAAAACAAGTCACTCATGTCCTTTTCTAGGCTCTCATTCCAGAGCTGGCTGCGGACACACTGCTTTCATCCTGCCTTCTCCTTTTAACCAATTTTGCTGCTCATTTACTTGATTTCTGTCCAACTTCTGGGAGTTGGGAATTCTGAAATTGAGACTCGTGTCTGTCTTTTCCACCTTTGCTGCATGTATTGCAGACACAGGCTGGGACAGTATGAGATGCTTGTCTAAATGACAACGCTGCTGTTGGCAATATCTAAAGGAAATACTCTGAGCAGCTGATACCCCATCTTCCTAACATAATATAACACTAAAAGTGAGACGGGTGCCTGGGAGTCTACAATAGATTTATCATTCAGTACTTTTCAATTCATTCTTTTTTACTTGCTTCTGTGTTTGTAACATGTAAGTCTTTAGTTTGACCATTATTCATGAAGTATCTGGTGTTTGGGTTTAGGCGCTTTGCTTGTGCAGTCAGTTTTGTGCTTCATCTGTGGTATGCTCTCATGCAGTTAAAGTGCATTTTCTTCACACTTCATGCTGCTGCTGTTAGCTGTTATGGAAGGAGAATGTGCTATGTACATTCATTAATTTTATTTTTTGTTTTAACCAGTCACATCTCTCCCTGTCTAAAGAGCCATTGCTGGTTTTAGTAGGGTTGTATTATAGACAAGACTGACAGATCTTCTTTACTTAAGAGAAATGACTGCTTGTGTAAACCTGATGTGAAGGCTGCCATTATTTACATACAAGCATGAGACCCAAGAATGAGAAGTTTGCTTCTAGAGAGTCCTCAATTTCAAGCATATTTGTGTCGAAGACTTGAGAGTGTTGCTTTCACCTGCAGTTCATCTGTCAGCTTTTTTGCTTGTACTTCCAAGATGGGATTATTGTACTCATGGACCACAGTTTCATCTAGTTCGTATAAGTGTCGGTCTTACTTATTATAAGACCATCTTAACTCAGAAGTTTTAGACTTCATAGTGATCTAATCAACTTAGTCAATAGCTCATCTTCTATTGTCTGTCATCAAAGGTCAATCATCAGAACCATTAATTCATCTGAGATATGAGCTGGGTTTTGCAAAACTGGGAGGGATTTGACAAACCAAGAATCTGGCAGTAGTCTGTATGTGAATTTTAAAGCCTAAATATGGAGGTTTCTATTTTGTTCTGTACTGTTTTACTTGAAAGGGTAGTAATAGAGCTGGTATATATTATTCAATGGAAGAACTGTAGTGGAACTTCATTAGCTTGAGTCTAGGCATCTAACTTCTGTGTACAAACCAACAGAGATTTGGATCCTGCTTCCCAGGAAAGTGGTGGAATCACTGTCACTGGAGTGTTCAAAAACTGTGTAGATGCCCTCAGTGACATGGTTTAGTGGTAGCCTTGGCAGTCCTGGGGTAATGGTTGGACTTGATGATCTTAAAGGTCTTTTCCAACCTAGTTGATTCTGTGATTCTGTAAGAATATGTATATTCTGAAGTATGCAAATGACACTTTTTTTATAAATACAAGGGTGCTATTAAAGTATTAGCAGGCTTGTTTATATGTGCCTCTTGCTACACTGTCATCAAAACTGGTAGATTACATTCTACTCTCTGAATGAGAAAATTCCTTTAAGGCTTTTTCTGAATAGTTTAAATATGCTGCTGCCTTTTCAAAACAGCGAAGGACATCCTGCTTTAGTCATTAAATTCTTCAAGGTAAACTCATGACAATTAACTGCTATTCTTTTACCTAAGAAAACATAGTATTCTTGACCAGACATAAAGCTTATTAAATAGCTTTTTGCAAACATCTTTCGTACCAAAAAGACACAGAATTTGCAGAGGAATAATCCAGGTCTAAGTATCTAAAATGGTCATGTAAGAAAATAGTAAAATTCAAATCCTTAATGTTAAGCAACCTTCTGACAGCCTAGCTCTGCTTTTCCTGTTTGCTAAAAAATAAAACATCAGCTAGAGTAAGTGTGATTGCTTTTTATTATGAAAGTAGTTTAATCTTTTACCACTTTGTTTTTGGCCAAAGAGTGTGCATGTGATGAGTTCCTGTGACACAGCTGATAGGCAGGAGCCGTATTAGGCTGTGGGAAAATAGAACACTTGACAGCTGCTAGACCAGAGAGTCTTGTTGATGTATGTTTTTTTCAGAGTAAAGAATATAATTTAGAGCCACCCTTAAGTGCACACGTCTCAATCTGTGTGCATATAAACCCATAAATACAAGGTTTTAGAAATGTTTGAGGAGTAGAAGTTAGTTTTTGTAAAAGATCTGAAGCTGCTGCTGTCTTAAAATTCAAACACCTTTTAACCTGTCTTTAAGGTATTCAGATTCTAAATGTTTTTTCCCAGTATCTTTCATTGGAGAAAAAGATCTTTGCAAGTCTGTACAATACACCTTTTTTCCTTAGGATATTTATTCACAGCAAACCTTTCCTTCTGAAAGGCAAATCTATGTAAAAATAGCATATTAGTCTTGAAAGACTACTTTTGAAAATTTTGACTTGCTCATTTGTTCCAGAGGGTGTTTATCTTATAATTAAGGAAAAAATACTCCAGAAGGGTTTCTTTTAGCCTCGCCTGTTTTGCATGTTTTGTAAAAGTAGAGCTCCCCATAATGATTCAGAATTCCTGCTCAACTTGAATAACAAAACTTGGATTGCTTAAGAAAAAAGCAGACTGGCAGGCAGACATTTAATGCTGCTGAAATTTCACATCACAAACACATCTCAGCATGTTAAGGTAGTTGGTTTGTAAAGAGCCTGAGTGGGCTGCTGCAAATTATAATTACTAATGTGATAATTACCGTAACTAACAGAAATGTAACTTGACTTTGAGCTTTCTGTCCTCATTAAACTTGTTCACCTTCTCTGAAACTCTCCATGCTGCATGCTAGCACGGAGCAGTCGTATCCCCCGACCCAGCATGAGTCAGGGGTGCAGTCGTGATACCAGCCGTGAGAGCAGTCGAGATACAAGCCCTGCTCGGGGCTTTCCTCCACTTGGTGAGTACATGTAGGCATTGGAGTTTTAAGGGTCAATATTTATTTCCTTTTTCCCTTGTTGTGATTACCCCTTCAAGACACTGCCAGGTGGAATGAGCTTGTTTCCTGTCCTCTGTTGGGTTCCTGACACAATCCCTGTTCCCAACCCTGCTTCCCTTCTGTTTTCTTCTGCATGCTTCAGTTCTGGTTCTTGGCTTTTCACTGTTAGCAGGAAAATAGTTTAGTTTGAACTTCTGTAAGTTTTAGTTTTATTAAAACAGGTCATAAGGGGCTGCTGTGCTTAACTTGACAACACTGATGGAAATCTACAGGAGAGCAAGCCTCTGTTTTCTAGGTCACAGTGAAGCAGTCTGTAGTGTTGTAGCCTGTTGTTGGGTGACTAATTATTCATGATCTGATTTTCTCACAGCTAGGTACAGTAACAGTGTATCATTTCTATACTAAATCCTCCAATAGAGATAGAAGCTCTTTTTGTTGTAGTTGTTTCACACAGTGTTGTCAATCATCAATTAAAAAGTTGCACATACCATTTTGTTAGGAGACTTTTTCAAGCAGGCTAAAATCCCGGAAAGGCTGAGGTTTTGAAGGAGCATCATTGATATGCAGTTTAAGTGTACAGTACAAATAGAAAATCTCATTATGCTTACCACATGCAGAAGTTTTTCTGCACAGTGTTGAAAGCAGCAGGATAGTTAATGTTTCTGATCAAATACCATATCATATATTCAACCAAATACATTACTTGTTGTATGAACAAGTCATCATGTAATCTCAGACATGAAATATAGTTGATCTCCAGGCACTCTTCATTTATGTAGTAATATCATAGCTGTGCATGTGGTATTAAAAATGTGAAAGAAGCTCTTGCAGATTTCATTAAGACAGAAGAGTGGTATTACAGGATCTGTTTTACACATAGTAACAAAATACAGGTATTGTGTAAATGGAGCATAGCATTTTGGGCTTAATTCTGCAACTTTATTCAATTAGGGAAAAAAGTTAAAAAAATATAGAGAGATGGGCAAAATTTTTTCTGTTTGCTTCTCATATTTAATATATTGTATTTTAAATAACCCTTTAAACTTATGTAGATGTTATTGTTTTTGATTTGGCTGTCAAATGCAGAGGCTGGTTGCCTTCATCCATATGAAATCATTGTTAAAAATCCTGTTGATATAAATGGTGTAGTGTGGATTCTTCAAGTTAAGAGGCTTTTGGTTTCAAAACTTCATTCTTTTGAGCTATTAAATAATCTGTTTATATTATTTGTAATATCTCAATTTTGGGTGGAAGATGGGAGGAGTTCATCTTGAAATAAATGAACTTTGATGAAATGAAGCTGATTTAATACCAGAACCATAAACGATAGTAGATGCACAATTGCATCTTGTTTTTATAGTTCCCTGCCTAGCTTCAAGATTCAGCCAGCATGTATAATCAGGGTTAATTCATCAGTGTTCTATGTCATTGTGCTGTTTTGTTTGTTTTATTGAAAATACATTAATTGAAATACTATCTTGAGCCCTTGTTCTGAAAAACATCAGAATCGCAGTTAGTGAGTTTTGAATGCCACCATCTCTACTGAGTCTGACTCATACACTGACTGTATAATTTCAGTTACAGATGTCTATTACACTGTTTCTAACAAACGTTATTTTGGCTCACTATATTTAATTGTCTGAAGATTAATGCATTTCTAGAAATACATCGTTATTAAGTCATTAAGGTAACATGGGGAAGTAGTATCAATGCAGTAGTAACCCAATATGGTTGTTATCCTGTTGTCTTTTTTGTTTTCGTTGAAATGCTTTAAACTCAAACATGTTCATGAACTTGTTAATTATGTAGTGTGTAATTCATCTGAAGGAAATTTATATTGTTAATTTAAGCCAAAACTATATTACTCTATTATAGTATTTCTAGAACCCAGTTAATCTTACATTAATTCTAAGATAATATAATCCTACCATGCATGGTCTATTTTTGCACATAAAATTTAACTTCTATATTAGGGAATTATACCTAAGCTAACTATGTGTAAACAACAGGATTCTTGCACTTAACAGTATTATGGTCAGTGTCAACACTGGTATCCTGACCTTGCTTTATTCTGGGGCTGCTGTGCAGGTACGCATGTCTGTGCACCAAGTTTCTGGCTTCCTGAGTTAGGAAACACCTGTGAAAAGTCACTCTACACATGGCCTCCTTGCAGAGATGTGATTCTTTTTGTTTTGTTTTTGTTGTTCCTGTTTCTTCATGGGCCTTGATCTTGCAGTGACGTCCACAGGGGCACAGCGGATGGCTTGAGAGAAAGCAATTACGAGCTCAGAATCTTAATTGTGAGGTTCAGTCCATGATCCTGCACTGATCCTGCAAATCTTTCATGAGTTATTTATGGTGTCGGTGAATTGTTCTCTTGAATAAATGCATGTGTTCTCCATGGGTAAAGACCACATTGCATATTCTGTACAGCTTCTAGTCAGTCTCTCACAGCTGGGAAAAAAAATGAAATCGGTTTTTTCTCACTTTGCTGATTCCTGTTATAATGTTAGCATCTGGGTTTATGAATGCTTTGCCTTGAGCAGAAGACTTATTTCTTTTTTTCTGCTGCACACGTATATGCATAATTGACAAAGCCTATTCGTATTAGAAGATGATTCTGCCTTATTTTTTTCAGTTTCTCGACAATACTAGATGTTAAAGCAACAAGGCCTTCAAGGGTTATGAATTGCTGAAATGGGCAATCAGTTGCTTGGGTCAGTTGCTTTGAGCTGGGTGAGCATGTCATAGCTAGACACAGGGAAGGCCTCTTTAGAAAAACTAGATTTCTGTAAGTTGGAAATGACTGAACCAATTTTCCATTTGCTTTCATAAAAGACTCACCTTTATGCTGACTCCATGAACTGAAAACCTCTCCAAAGGCATTTTGTGGTTTATGTGCTGCTGACAACTGGGAATTGAAGTGGGAACTGTTCGGCTTCAGCTCTTCTGCTACTGTATGTGTTCTGTTGCTGTTAACAATTTGTATACATGTGGTGTAATTCTAGATAGGTGTACAATCTTGCAGTTCAGATTATCTGTGCATGTACATACTTAGATTCAAGAAACATGTATGCAAAGTTTGTTAAAAGCAAGAGACTTTTGGTAGTAGCAACAGCTATGGTATGTGTGTACGTGTGTTTACTTGGAAAAGAAACCCAGCCCAAGGACCTATAGGCAGTGGTTGGCTGACCTCCCTGTATGACTCTTTCAACTTACGTGGTTATTTGTTCTCTTTGTTAACGTTGCTTTTTTATGCATAGGCTAGAATATTGTGGAGAAATATCTGCAAGCACAATTCTTATGCATTCATCATGGCTTCACTTCAGGGTTTAGATTAGACACATCTAAATCCTGCTCTGTAGTTATGTGCTCCATGTTCTCACGATGGCCGTCTTCCGGATCTGTGGTTCTGGAATGTGACTGATGTGCACTGGGTTTTTTTGCTGAACTGCACTGGATTTGGGACTGTTACAGATGAGTTTTGTCATGCATTGCGTTTACAGTCATGGGGGATAAGGGAGAAGCTACAGATGGAGGTGTTGCTGTGGGGCTTGCACCGTATCTGTTATGCATTCATATACAACGTCATTTCCCTGTCACTATGAAACACCTTTACCGGTAGCGGTCTCGCATCCCCTTTGGATTGTGGCATTTTCTGTCTCGGGTTAAATGTGTGTTAATCCTGTGGGTGTTGCCATTCCTTCTACTTGCAGCTTCTCGACGTCATTCCAGGTCCACTAGTGCTCTCTCCACTGCTGATTCTGTTGGGCAGTCAGGTGAACAAGCGCTAACTGCATGAATCTGCTTCTTATACGTAGTCTTGTTTTACACCATCTTAACATTTGCCATCACGTGCATCAGCTAGCACTTGGCATGTGCTTCTCATCGCTGTGGGGCTTTCTGTTCTGTTTTTGTTCAACGTGGCTTTTTGGTTTGAATTTCAGTTATTGGATGTTTTTAATTTTATGTACTTGAGGAACATTGTGAACAGTGTTTAAACAAAGGGTGATCCAGGGCTTTCTCAATTTTCCCGTAAATTGGATCAGTTGTGCAGCATGGGCTAAATCCTGACTGATGCAGATAACTTCCGATTTCTGTTTGTATTTCCTCTTTAGGAGTGGTGCAGTTTCCAGTGCCTAGGACTGGATCCCAGTGGGTTTCATCCCATTTATTACTAAATATTCTGGACTCCTGTCTCTGTTAATGAAAGTATTTGTGGGATCCCCTCAAAAATACACAAAGAACAACAAGAATTAAGCACCTCATGAGCTTTCAAAATGAACTTTGGAGCATACACATGCTGGTCCATCCTTCATATAAATCTGAAGGCCTTGTCCAAAGTATACAGAAGTTGCTGAAAAAATTATTCCTGTAGTTTCATGGGGCTTTGGCATCAGGAGACTAATGCTTACATATAATGAGAAAAATCTGCAGATTCCAGTTGCTTCTTCCCCATTCCTGTGCTGGAGTCACAGTTGTGGAGAACATGTAACTCCCTTTTGAATCAGGATATTTCACTGAAAGTTTTAGAAATGAATGAGGGCTGCTAGCTTTGGGACAATAAGACTTAATTGTGGGGAGAAAGTTGATGTAGAAGATGAGGGCTTCAGTGTTTTCTTGGAGGCTGAAATTGTATGAGGATTTAGTGATACTGAAAGTTATTAATAACCTTCAGGTACAGAGTGAAAAATACTGTTTCTCATAAGTCTAGTTAAATGGCTGTCACTTAACTAGAACTCTCAAAACATTTTCCGCATGAGGTTGCTCAGCAGAAATGGTGCAAGCTGATTTGACTGGCATTTTTCAAAGTAACAAGCCAAATTTGTTTTTAACAAAAATAACTGAAAACATGTCAAATACCTCAAACTGTAATACAGATTTAAGCTTTGTTTGCATTCAACTTCCTGTGATAGTCATTTGATGCTTGACTTCTGTGCTTTGGTGCAAAGCATAGTCAAATTTTGTATGCTTGCCTGTGTCAAAATCTCCCTAGAAATGGCAAAGTTGGGCCAAAAATGGTGATAGCACATTTTCATCAAGTTTATAACAAGTGTCGTGAATCTAGCTGGGGAGACGTGGCCATTTATATTCTGGGAATTTAGCCACGGTATATTCTTTTCTTGTCCAGTAACATAGGGCAAGAAAAGAGCCAAATGTGTTCCAAGCCCTGTGTAGGGATATGCTGAGGTCTGTCCTAAGGTCTAACACAGGTATGGCAGCAGTGTCTTGGGGAGAAGCCCTGAGTGACTTGGGTGTTATGAATTTAAAAGTCACTGAAAGAAGTATTTCAGAAAATTACTGATAGCCATGGAGAGAGATAAAAGCCAGTGTGCCATACTTACTTTATTTGTTAAAAAAGCTCAAATTTGTTTCTTTATGCTGGGTGTTTAATTGATTTACAACTGAATTACTTTGTCATTCTGTTCTTCATTTAAAAAACCCCAAACAAACTATCTCCCCTTTTCTAATGTAATACCAAATTTACATGAAAACAAATTACAATGTGTTTTTTGATATTATTTCAAAAGTTAAATCCAAAATCTGATCGGACTAAACTTGAGTAATGTCATTGAGTAGGGTTTAAATATGAAACCAAGTCCAGAACTTAACATTTACAGCTCTTGTACTGTACCAAATACCTTTTACACTTGGGAAGAAAACTTGCCTTCTGTACATCTCTGTCGTAGTGACTTTAGTTTCAATCAGACCTAATGCACTATCGTCTTCTTTGATCCTCTTTGAAGTGTGTGGACCTTTCCATTTTAAGGATGAAGTACTGTTTAAATGATTCTTCAACCCAAGTGCATTAAAAAAGGGGATAGTAATAACACATAAAACTTTTATTTCTTTGTGAAATGTCATGATTTGATTACTTTTTGGCAGTAGTTCTAAGATTGTTTTTGTTTTGTTTTTTGTTTTCTTTGTAATGTGTTTTGTAGAAGGTGTGCTTTTGTTGTAAATCAGAAATGTCTTGTCTGGGTACGTAACTCTGAGAAACAGTACATTTTGATAGATAACACTTCTCTCTGAATTAAATACTAATCTTCAGGGTTGTTTTTCCTCAATACTTCAGATTTAAAAAAATATCCCCTTGGGAGTTTAATCCCTGAAACATTTGGGTAAAGCTTTGGAATCAGGACAGTAGACTGGCAAGCTTCATTCTCCAATTTAAATTATGCATATCAGTGTGAACTAATTTCTTAAAATCTGTTTAAGTGCAATAGGTTTATAAAGAAGAAAGCAATGAAGTTCCGTGATAAGCACAGTGTTTTTCCTGAAAAATACAGTAAGATGCTGCAGATCATGTTTGACCTCAGTCCATGATGCAGTTAGGCATTTTGATAAGCAGTGGTTTTCCTTAATTAAATTAAATATAGATGAACTAATAAAAGACCTATGTGACTTGATCCCTCTATCTTGCTGCTTGATGTTTGCCTCCAATGTGAATCAGCTGAAGGTCTGTTAAATGAGTTCATGCAGCTTGATTTGCACAACACGGAATTTGCTGGCCATACTCCTAGTGGCACGTGTGGGTGCAGGGGACAGAGGTGTAAGGTGTGTCCCAGAAGAGATGTTCCTAGTCCTTCTTGAGCAAAGACAGGCCCATGTGGAAACAAAATCTTGGAATGCCAAAACCAATTTCTCTTTGCTTATAATCCGGAGCCCGTCTAGGAGGACTGTTCTGTCAGAGCCTGGCCTGTGGTCCTCAGGTCACAGATTCTGTCATATTCCTGCTAGCATGCCTCTCTGAATTTGGCCTTTGCCCAAAGAAACTGATTTCAGTAACATTTTTAGTAGACTGGGCAAATGATAAAGTAAACTAATTATTATGAGTGTAAATGACATTTTAGACTCAATCCTCTTGCTTCAGATGCCACTGAGTGCCATCAAATTTCAAGAGAGAAAGATTGATACTGTTTGATCCAAAAAATCTATTTTGATTATCATAGAGCTTTTAAATGGCATTTAAAATGCTTATCAAGAACAACATAAAACTTGGAGGCACTTCACAAGCATATAATAAACCTTCTTTTTATACCATAGTGCCTAGGGGGATATTCTATTGGTTAATCAAGCCTTGAGACATAAGATAGGCAATCTGGTGCTACTAGTCTTACATCCTTGCCTGAGAAAAAGCTGCAGGGTAGATGAATGCTCAGGTATTAACATGTTCTGACACTGGGCACAATTCTGTCTCTCTAAAGTTAATGATTCCCAAGTGCGCCAGATTGGGACTGGCATGTCTGCCTCTGACATTAAAATAAAACTTGGAAACAACTTCTGTGTTAAAAAAGAAACAAAGTAGACACTCTGCTTCCCAGCATAAAAAAAAAAAACAAAAACAAAAAACAACCAAAGAAGCTGCCCTGAGGATCCAAAATTGTCTCTGGGGCCCAGCAAACAATAGTTTATTTCTTACTCTAATGGCAAACTTTCTAGAGCTGTGGATAAAAGTGTATTTAATGGAAAAGCACTGCAAGTTCCCAGAGCTTGTGGGGAAAGCTGCTCGGCACCTGATTAGGATTCCAAGTGAATGTGAATTCATTTAACAGCCCTTTTCAATGTTGTCTTTTGTGCAGACCGGTTTGGACTCGGACAACCAGGCAGGATGCCTGCTTCTGTGAATGCCATGCGAGTCCTGAGCACAAGCACAGATCTGGAGGCTGCTGTGGCCGATGCACTGGTAAGAGGAAAAATACAAAATGCTTCCAACACCGGAAAGTGGCTTAAAGTTACCTGTACGTATGTTCTCCTCTTTCTAAATAGCTTTGTTCTGATTGTGCCAGTGTCTGATGCTGTAGAGTTAGTTACCTTTTGCTGTTTTGTCTTTAGGTATATTGGCGGCAATGTTTGTTTCCTTATTTCATCTTATTTCTCCACAGTTGTCAAACAGATCACTGTGGCTTGGTGCTAGAGCTGCAGGATGGGTTGAATCAGCTGTTAGTCTTTCACTTGGCTGTCAGATGATGTATGTAGCACTGTGGGGGTGCTCAGCACCTGCGGGATCAGGGATTTCTATCAGTCCCGTTACCTGTATGAAGACTTTGTCAGAAAAGTGTGCTCTATTAGTCTTGATTCCTTATCTAGTTTAGAAAATAACTAAGAATTTCACAAGTTCCTGCCCTGTGTTATTTGCACCTGTCTAGATACCTGAATCAGCTCATAACTTGCCTTGCCTGTAATTGGTACCATCTCACACAGTTAAATTGAAGTAATTTGTCAAGTTTGCTGCTAGTACTTTCAAACATTCAGTACATTTCCAAGTAAATTTATTGTAATTTAAAAAAATGCATTGTCCTGTACATCTTACTGTGTTATAACATCTCTTGTCTAGAACCCAGAAAGTGTTTTCTGCTCTTCAGAAGACAAGCGTTAAGCCTGTGGGTTTACCTTCAGTATTTGAAGTAGAGAGGATGTGTATAGGCAGGAGCAATTATTGTACAGCATTAGCTGGGTTCCAGTATACCTTGGGTCATCTCCAGCTCAAGATCTGAGGGGAGGACTTCCAAATGTGTCTTGAGACAGATATCTCAGATCTCTATGGAGAATGAGCCACGTCCCCAGAGTTTGTGATAGGTGTCCTTTCTCCATTTCCTAGTTCACTTTCCCTAAGGATGGCGAGCATTTTCCTTTTTGTATTTGATTATCACCCAGCTCATGTCACCCCCATTTCTAGACGATTATTAGAGTACTCTTAGACAAACGTCACTTTTTCCAAAATCTGCCATTCAAAAGAAAAGAATATGTAACTAATGTAAAGGTAGGACAGTATATAATAGAGGACACTGTTGCGTTTAGTGGGCTGAATCATCAGTGGGCATTTTCATTACCAAATAACAGCTTGTGAACAAATTTCTGCTCTCAGCACCTCAGATTTGCCACTGGAGCAGTTCAAGGCATAATTATAGATGATGACTTGCCTGTGTAAATGAAATCAGGCTATGTCCCTGAATGCGAGCAGCTGCTCAGCACAGGTTTCTTGGTGGAGGAGGGGGTCACAGTGTTTCAATTCACTGCTGATCGCTGATATCTCTTTCAGTGTAACTTAATAGTCAGGTGGACTTACAGTTCCCTTTTAAATATTCCACTCTTTTAAACAAAAAAAAATATTATACTGGAATGTTAAAATCTGGAAGGGTTGGGCGCTTTAAAGGGAAATCCTTAAGTCTAGCTGGAAACTAAGCTGCTGACTTGGTTGATCAATCTGAATTTGTATGGCTTTAGGGGATGCAACATGATCTTGTTGTTCCCTTCTTTCCTTAATTTGCTCTTCTCACAACAGGCAATTTACAAATGCTCCTTAGGCAGTAAAGTGATGCCAGGTCTTACCCAGCAGTCTTGTCTTCAGAGAAGCATTATTTTCTCTGTAGTAAGAAACGAAAATAACTTCTTGAGGTGTCTTCAGCCAAATACTCAGTTTAAGTAGAACACAGTGGGTCATTTTGTGACCTCTGCTCTCCATGTACAATTCTCATTGGATCCAGTCTGTCTCGAGAGCTGGACTTGGGGTAAACCTGCAGTGTCTATACTGGGAATCAGTGCTTGGATCTGTCAGAAGAGCTCAAAGGGTGATGGAAACTCTGCTATTAAGTAAGGCCTTTAAGCCAGGGGTGACAGTTAGTGTGTCTTGAAAGAAGCTGAGCTTCAAACAAAATGTGGTGTAAGAACTGTGGGTTGAAAGAGAACTTGATCGAGTGAAGTTGATTAAATGTGGTGCACTGTAGATAGTGGTTTCCTGACATCAGAATTTCTTTCCAAGACTAAAAATCAAATGCTACTGATAATATATGGGGATATAAATCATTATGAAAAACTGGTATCTTCCAGAGCAGCACTTCTAAAATGTAAGCAGAGAGTTGCTGTATATAGATCTACCATCAAAACCCCTATTAACATATAATCTCACTTCCAGGCTCCCTAATGGAAATTGTAGGCTATAAGGGTAAAGCAACAGTTTGGAAATAAACGCAGGCGTTATTATACCCACTTTTATTTTGCATATACTGTATTTTAATTTGCTAAGACACATTTGCTATACGTTTTTGTTGCAAAACCAAACCCTACATAAGCTTCTGACATAATTCTCTATGCTTTTTCCCACCCTTCAATATTTTCCTGCCTACAGCTGTTAGGAGACTCCAGGAGCAAGGTACTAGTGCTTTCTTGACTTTTTATTTCTACTTTCCAACTTTCCCCACCCTGTTGCTAACACCCATGATACTGCACTTGTGTTAATTTCCACACTTCAAACCTGCAGTCCTAGTGGAAGCAAAACTCTGCTGGCTTCACAAGTCCAAGAGCTGCAGGACTTCATGCTGGAAGGAATTCTGTAGCGAACACTTTAGAATATGGACTCTCGTTTATCTGATATATATCAGTCCTGTTCTGTTAAGGTTCATATAAGATTTTGTTTTGTAGTATAGCACACAATTCGTTTTGCTACTATAATTTTAATATCTCTTATAGAAGAAGCGAGGTTCTCAAAGATGGTACCTAAGGGAATCAGGTCCTCTAATGCCATGCTATGGAAATGAGTGTGATTTAAGTACTCAACTCCCATAGCATCCTCTGGAAAAATCCTAGCCCAGACTAACAGAGAAATTGTCATCTCCTGTATCCCAGTGCATTTTTAGAGCCACTGTATTATCAATATCAAAGTGACTGTGCATGTCAGCACAGATTATTTCATCTCTTTCTTCCTTTATTTTTTTCTTGAAGTAGAGTTTGTATTGTCATAGAATCTGTAACAATGGAACTGACTGTTATTGACAATAAGACAACATACAATTACCAGTAGCTAATTTCACTGGGCATAAATATCTAGCTTTCATGCTGGGGAAGGCAAGCCCTGCTCCCCTTAGTCACTTGAATAGTCTCATTGAAATCAATGGGATCTGTCTTGCTCTACTGTGAAAGGTAAGCAGGCAGTGCTTGGTGATGTCTGTAAAACACATCACTATAGCAGAAGTGAATAGTGAATAGTCTTCATTTTAGTTATTATGGATAGAACGTATTTCTTTTGGCACTGATGTAACTATATATAACTTACTAAGTCTGAATTTCCCCTCTTCCAGAAAAAACCAGTGAGAAGAAGATATGAACCCTACGGGATGTACTCCGATGATGATGCTAACAGTGATGCATCAAGCGCTTGCTCAGAGCGCTCGTATGGTTCCAGGAATGGGGGCATTCCACACTACCTGCGGCAGACTGAAGATGTGGCTGAGGTTCTGAACCACTGTGCCAGCTCCAACTGGTCTGAAAGGAAAGAGGGGCTCATAGGTCTTCAGAACTTACTGAAAAGTCAGCGGACACTGAGGTGACCTTGACAGATTTTATAATTCAGCCATTCATGAAAAATGGCTATAGTGAGATGTCAGTAATATGTACCTGCCTTATGGAGACAGATAGTATCTTTCACAGCTATGAAGGCTTTGTCACCACAATTTGGGACTTTTGGAAAAAGTTCTGCTATGTCATCAGTATAATTTGTGTTAAATTTGTAGCAGTAATGTAGAAAGGACTCAGTTAAGCGTGCTATCTTCTCTTAGCCTTCCTTTGTTTTGTGAAGGCTTTCAGTGGTAGGTGCTTGTTGCAGCACAGTGACATTTCCCACAATGATGGTATTGTAAAAGCAGTACCACCCTTTGAATGCATTTACATTAGTCTGAACCTTCAGTTTTTCTCCCAGCAAGTCAGTTTGCGAAGCAAACACTCACCGCATTTACTCTAAAGTGTGTGTGTGTTTCCAAGCTGAGATCAGACAATGCTTATGGTGGGTATATTTTGACTCCTTATGAAGTCTGTCAGATGTAATTATAGATATTACTTAGAACTCTTGAAAAATCTTAGATATTTGAGGCTTCTGTAAATGGTGTAATTTGTAGAGAGAAATTTCTTAGGGCGGCAAAATAGATGTACTCTGAAAATTTGCTTGTGGTAGGAGAGAGACCTTTTTCCTTTGTTGAAAGCCACATAAACCGTTCCGACACCTTTGGCATGTCACACATTAGAGCAGATCTTAGAACTACCCAGTAGTTATATGGAAACCTTGTATGGCCACAGGTCACATGAACTAAAGTCAGCTGGCTCTCAGGCCATAGGTTTTTACCCTCAGTTTGTGGTGAAAGTATTTGGAAACAAGTTGATTATCTTTTGACTCCTTTAAAGATAACATTCACGAAGAGCTCTGGCACTTTATTTTCCTGTTATGAATATTATGTACTTAAATTATGGCCAAGTTTATAAGTGGTGGTTGTATGGTTTATAGATGCCTACTTGGATTTATGCAATTCCTCCTGTTTCAAAAGGCCTTTACACTGGCTGAAAATACTTGATGGCTCATGTTAACAGGAATGAAGGAAGTGTATGGAGAGCAGGCCTGGAAAGGTTATTCTTTTGCTATCATAAAAATATTCTAGAACTTTACATGACATGGTATAGTCCTTAAGTGGGAAGTGCTACAGGTTTTTAATATGGGTAGTTAGACTCCCTACATCAGAGAAGCTTTTCAATGTTGTCTATTTATGAGTCTTTTAAAGATGCTTCCTTCATGTGTGCTGCCTTTTTTATTTTCTACACACCACTCCCCCCACCCACCCCTTTTTCTTTGTTTTGACAAATGGTCTGGAAAAAGCTGGCACCTCTTGTAGTTGGGTGAGACTTTGATTTTGCCACGAAGGTGCGTGAGGATTTATAACAAAGGTTTTGAGTGCTGCTTTTCCAGGAGAGGAAATGCTGAGAAGTATGGGTGATGGGCTATTTATCCAGATATGTAGCTCTTAGCAGAAATGCTGGTAGAATTGTTTTCAACCCTGCTGGCTGCAGTGTTTAAACTATACTGCTATCACTAGTCCCTCAAGCTTGCAAGTTTTCTTAGCTTTGATTCTGAATAGTTTATAAACCTGTCACAGAAACTACACCTCTGTGGGGTCACTTTTTAATTTGAAACTGGTTTTCGTTCTCTAGATTAGATTTCATTTTGGTTTGCCTTTGGTCTGCTTCCTCCTCTGCTCAGGGTTGATCTGGTGCCTGTACTAATGATTAGATTTTATCATCCTGTTTGTTCCCACAGCATCTTGCAGATCATCATCAAGGTCATTAGTCCAAGGGGCAAGTCTGTCTTCTAAATAAACCTGATATCTTCTGTTGTGGTATAACAAGTTTAAGAAAAGACAGAGATGTGGCTAGGTTTCCTTTAGTGCTCTGAACTGAAAGATGGTCGATCTTATATTACCTGGGATTCGCATATCCAGAAAGATGTGCATGCAAAGTGGTGTGGCGCTTACCTATCCTTTTTGTTTCTTATAGTTTCATGTGGCCTAGTTCTCTTTAAGTGCTCCCCATAAGGTCTTCTAAATAAAACAAGGCAAACAAGTCCCTTAAGGAAATGTTTTTCCACTGTCTGTTTCAGTTTAGTACTTGCATTGTTACCTTGGGTCCTTCAGCTTTTAAATAGAGACACACTTACACTTGCTCTATCATGTAACCTGTGCCCAGAAAGAAAATTCATTAGTGTAATAACTAAGGGTTTGTTCAGAGAGCTGCAATCTGCAATTCAGGAGAGCATTGTTGTAATTTTGGGACTGTGCAGTCTCACCCTGAATGAAGCCGACAGCTTGCTGTGGTGTTGTTAAAAAGACTTCTTCCTCTACATCAAGCCATTTGGTTTGTGCCCTTTTAAAATTTGGTTAGCCTTTAATGTGTAAGTTGTTTTTTTTAAAATGTCCTGTATTGCTTATAAACAAGTTAATGTAAAAAAGCTGTGTACTAATAGCATATTCTGGTCTGTTATTTGAAGCTTACTTTGAGAGAGGGAGAGGTATGTTGGTGGACTGTAGAATTAATGTCTTTCTGGAAAGAGAGTACCTGTAGTTAAGACGTGAATGGTTGTTTTCTGAGCAATCCATGTGCATTTCAGTAGTTGCTCTGGTTCCATAATAATGGTGGAAAATATCTAATTGCATGCATAGTAAGCAGGAAACATTACCTAAGTGAGTTTTTGTGCACAGTAAACAAACAAATTTCTGCATTCTTTAGCAGTTTGCCTTGCAGGAAAACTAAGACTTGTATTTTCAATACATTGTAAATAAGAGCTTTGGCATCAAACGGTTCTGCATTTGACTCAAGCTCAGTATCTTATGAAAGGGATTCATACATCATTCTTCTTGCCCATGGCATAAAAAGAGGGTTACTGACACCTAATAATCTTACTAATAGGAACTTAGATTGTGCTTTGATTTAATTATCTTCTGATTTACTAGGTTGCCCACTTGTTAATCTGTTCTGTATTTCTATATATTTGTCTACTCCATGTGCCTGCTGTCAGACTTCGAAGTCAGTTCTGATATTGTTAATATTGTGTGATTCTTGACTGATTTTACTGAAGCGACTGAAAATTTAGACCAAAATATTTATGATTAGTATATACCCGAACAGCATGAAAGTTCTGATTTTACTTGAAAATTTGAATTCCCTGACACAAGAGACTTGAGAAATCTTGGCTGCAAAAGACCCACGTTTCAGTGAGTCAGTGACCTTGAAGAAAGGCAGAAAATAAATACTTCCCAAATGCGCCCATTTCAAGTTGTATTCTGCAATCCAGAACATAAGAATAAGTTAAAGTAGGAGAAAATACAAGTGTCTGGCTTACAATAAAAAAAAAAAAAGTATTAGATTTCTTAATAAGACTGGTTATCCCAGCAGTTAAGCTGGAATGCCACTTAAGGCTTTGCCTCGATACAGTTTTTGGAAGTGTGACTGAAGTATCATTTAAATAAAGAAGGTTAGATATTTCAACTGTTAATATTTATTCATTTTTTCTGCAACTAAAGCTTTAGCATTAATACTGTGTTCTATTTATTTCAGCCGAGTCGAGTTGAAAAGGCTATGTGAAATATTTACTCGCATGTTTGCTGACCCTCACAGCAAGGTAAGATCACAAAGATTTGGCTTGTTCTCTTACGTTACCGTGTGTGCACATTTGACATTGTTTTTGCAGCAGGGTAGGGAATGGGGATGTTGGGCCCACAGGCACATTCAGACCCAGTGGCCTTCTGTCAGTAGGTAACTGGGAGCAGGGAGAGGGGAAAGGGAGTTTTGTGCCTTGTCCTGAGGGGGTTTGCTGGTTGAAGGCAATCAGTAGTGGCTGAGTAAAAACATCTGCTGTTAAGTTAAATACAGTTTGAGAAAGCATAAGTTGTACAAATATTTGTATTTCAGACTACTTGATAAACCAGTTTAAATAACCAGTTGGTGGTGGAAATGCCATGGACAGGCACCAGTTGCCTGTCACAGGAAGGTCTTGCTCCAACTGCTCATTTTTGGCCATAGTTATAGTCCCGATCAGCTGTCCCACAGGCCTTGCTGAGTGTGGCAATTCCTACCTTGTAAGGTCTTAATGTTTTGGTTCTCAAAGGTTCAATATGTGTTGTGGAAAGGGTGAAGGTGTAGAGTTTTGCAAAATAGTTCCAATTCCTGTATAAGGCGTGGGTTTATTACACACTGGACTCAAGTTATGTCCTTTGCGGTGATCTGTCACCTGCATTGCTTCTGTAGAATTATTGCTACAAACACATTAGTTGTGGTGTTAAACATACCCAGATTTTTACATATAAGCATATATAAACATGTTACTTTCATGACTGAGACTGGATCTAATACAAGGTATATAATGTTTTAAGTAACTCTGAGAAGGGATTCAAGAAAATGTAAACTTCCAGTGAATGCATCCTTTATCTGTTTGCAAACTGCATCTGGACAACTAGCCTTGATCACTATGTGTGCTAACGAGTGGTTTGTTTTGTTGCATGGCCTGCTTTGCCGTGGAATTCACAACAGAGAGTAAGTGTATTCTACCCCCTTCCTTCATCTGTTTTATGTGGTATTTTAATACGACACGTTTTAGACGTGTCTTGTCTGATTTTTACTTTCTTTTTTTTTTTTTCATTATTTTTCCCCCAGCCATATAGTCACTAAAATCATTCATTCATGGAACTGTCTATAACAAAATCATCCTGAAACCCAGACTGTAAAGCCTTGATTATTTTATTTAAAGCACTGTGTTCCTTTTTGTGACACCTGTTTTGTTTATAGGTCTTTAGCATGTTTCTGGAAACCCTGGTTGATTTCATCATCATTCATAAAGATGACTTGCAGGATTGGCTTTTTGTTCTCCTGACACAGTTGCTAAAGAAAATGGGAGCAGATTTGCTGGGGTCTGTGCAGGCGAAAGTTCAAAAAGCTCTGGATGTCACCAGGTAGAGTATTAGATGGCAAATACTATGGAGGTTTTTGCAGGATTACAGAAGGGTATCTGTTGAACATTTTAGAACCACAGTAGTGCTGTATGTTTTGAGGGCTTAATCTTGATGAATACCAGAATAAAGGAGAGTGAAGTTATGTCACAGTATTTCAGGCATCGAATTAAAAAGGCCTGTCTCTTTTCTAAATAGGTAACTGTAAAGCATAACATTTAAAATGTGTCATTGATTTTGTTAATTTGTGGTTTGGTTTTGTTGTTGGTTTTTTTTGTTTGTTTGTTTTGTTGTTTGTTTTTTTTATGTGCATGTGCTTAGATACCAATTTTGGTTTTGATTGATGGGGGAGAATATTTGCAGTATTCATATTTACCAGAAAGTTCAGAGCATCTTTCATACTGTTCAAACAGCAAATAAGGGTAATGTCAGGATAACACCTTGAATGCTACTGCAATGTGCACACCAGTCTGTAGTCAGTGTCCTTTCTAAGGATGTCCAGCACACGACACTGTTACAATAAAGTTCAGCTAATCCTGGAAACAGGATAATTTAAAAAAAATAAAAAAATAGTAATCCAGGGGAAAATATGATAGAGTAGGGAAACAGAGGAGAGAAATCAAAATTAGGTGTGAATTCTGAGGACAGGATAAGCACCAGACTGCTACTAGAGATTAGGGAACAAAGCACAGCCTGACATGAAGATGGAATGGACAGATGTGCCAAAAGCTGGGTAAGTGTACAGAGGGTAGATAAAGTAACAGTGTATGAAGGTATTTATTTAGCAGTCTTCTCCAGTATTCAGTCAGTAGTCAGCTAATCCTTAGACTTGGAGTTTCTCTGGTTGATAGAAAGTTAAAGAGAAAATTATTAAGGGTATTGAGATCTCTTGTGTAAGCTTTAACATATAGAGTTAATTTAGTCCTGAAAATTTATGTTGCATTACATTTTTGCCTTTTTTTTTTCTTTGACAGGGATTCTTTTCCATTCGATCAACAATTTAACATTTTGATGAGGTTTATTGTAGATCAGACCCAAACACCAAACCTGAAGGTCAGTATCAAAAAAGCCTTTTCAGTAAAACATCAAGAAGGCTGTCTAAGCTTGCCACGTCAGGCATATCATAAAGCATAGAACTCATGTTAAGATGACTAATTGTAAGTACCTCCGTGATACAGAAGTTATATTGGTACTTAACTCCTTCTCCATTTTAATAAATCTAAATATCTTTAAAATAGGACCCTATGAGAGCTGGGGTTTCAGCACACTGGGACGTATTTAGGTTTGGATACAGAAAATTCCTCTTCACCCTGGTCCTGATGGGAATAAAACCTGGCTGTGCAGGACAGAAGGACCAGATTGTCTGAATGGCTGGACCCTAGGCACACCTTAACAAGTGCTTGATGCACAGATCAGACATAACGCTTTCAGGGTTTGGAGAAAAACATCAGGGCTTTCTGCTACTGAATCCTCCCAAAGGGATATTGTTTTGTAGACTGTTTTTTCAGGAAGTTACTGTGTCAAGACTATAGGAAGACTATAAACTCTAGAAATCACACACATTTATCTTCCAAAGACAGGAATGTACAGGATACCAAATGACTCCTGTTCTTTAATCTTTGAAATTTTGGATCTTTTGCAACTCTGTCGGGTATTTGGTTAAGACCAGAAGCTACAGTTTGGCATCTGGAACAGTAATCACTGGTGAAATCAGCTTGGTAGAGTACTGATTTGTTTACACAAACACACAAGTAGACATACGTATTTCAAGCCAGTTCTTGTATACCATCCCAGGCTCTTACTACACAGAATTTATCCTGTGTAGAAAATTGCTTTTCATTTTTGAAGCACACGACACAAAGACATGTCACAGGGATATTTTGATTTTTCCTCATGACATAAATCTTGTCAATCTGTAGTAGTATCTGTTTATTGTGGGATAAATCCATCTCTGCCAGCTTCTGAGCCTAACAAGTCCCTTTTCACTTCTCAGGTGAAAGTTGCTATCCTGAAGTATATTGAGTCCTTGGCAAGACAGATGGATCCAACAGACTTTGTGAACTCTAGTGAGACAAGACTTGCTGTATCTAGAATTATAACTTGGACAACAGAACCAAAGAGCTCAGACGTGAGAAAGGTAAGCCAAAGTGATGAAGTATTCGCAGTAATTATTGTTGTTTAAAAAAAAAAAGTAAGAAAAAGAAAAGGAAAATAAAAAACACAATAAAAAATGGTTATAAAAGCAATGAGAAATTCAGTTACTAGATTCTGTTTTTAAGAAATTGATTTTACATACCTTACTGTCCAAAACAAATTCATTAAAACACATTTCTGAAGCATGACTTCGTATATCTTTTTCTAGTGCATACTTAGTTGTGTGACTTTACTAATACTGTGCAAAAAGAGGTAACAGTTTGAAAATGTACTTTTCTTGAGCAGTCTGGAAATATCTCTAGGTTTTTGTTTATTTAGGTGAAGGCTCTGTGCTTTGTAGAGTGAATGAAATCTAGCACAACTTCTGTGTTAGTATAGTGTTGAAAGAAAGTAAACAAATCAGTAAGCTGCCAGGGACTCTCAACTCTTTTCTTTTAAGAGCTGTGTGTTTATCTCAACCTGGAAAAAATTGACACATTTAGGTCAGGCCTGGGTTATACAGTTATGTTGTTTTTTATCTTGCTGTAGATGCAAGTGTCAGACAAGCTAAAATGGGCCAGATGGTGATACTCATCTTTCCCAAGAGAAAACTGAGACTTAGTTTTATGTACCTGGCATCTGTAACAAATTTAAAACCACCTTCTCTTCTCAGTCCAGATGTAGAAATAGATTCTGGTAATAGTTAAAAAGGCTTTGAGATGTACTTGGATTAAAAAAAAACCAACCACCACCACAAAAAAAAAAAAACCCACCAAAAAAACCCCAACCAAAAAACGCAAAACCCCCACCCAAAATAACCTAAACAAACATTTAAGCATTTCAGAATGTAAAAATTGTCTACATTTTTTTCACTCTACATGCACTTAAAATGTTGAATTAATGGTAGAACAACAGATTATTTTATGACTTGGGACATAATAAATCTATTTTTAGTGATTATTTGATTTCCAATGACAAGATCATTAGGGATCAAAGGTGCTGGAACTGCAGCATTATCTGGTAACTGACACAAAGCTTCAAAGAAGCTTTTTGGGTTCATGCTGCTTTCTCACGTACAGCTGATTGATTCTAGAGAAAAATGTCTCATGCTCTTCTATGAAGATTTTCTGCAGGGATTATTCACACCAGTGTGACTGAAATTTGCTTCTGCAAGATAGTCAGCCTCAGAAAAAGAAAGGTTACTTTAAATCTTGGACTTAAATCTGGAATATGCCTTTCCATTTTGATGCCTCCATGAATAAAGCCAGAAAGAATTAAACAATCAAAGAAGACGCTTCTCTATTACAGCTCAAGTAAACCTCTAGCAGTTTACTGTGCTCATGGTCTGCGGGAGGGAGTTGTAATTAATTTAAGTAGAATTACACATTGAAAAGCAAAATCTCTGCCTATTGCTGAGTGAAGAAATCTTCCACCATTAGGGGTCATCATTGCTGCATACAAAATTTAGTGCAGAGTATCTGCAGAGCTGAAAAAACAGGCTGTTCACTGTGGGATGTTGGGAGCGCGTGTTTACAGCAGGGTGTCCATCCTTCTGTCTCTTTCAAAGACTTTCAGAACTCTGGCAAAACTTTCACCAAACTTTACCTGAGCTGAGCAGTACGCAAGCAAGTGCCTTGGGCTGACAAGAGATTACTGAATCTAAATTCTACTTATTGAACCTGCACGTGGCTTGGATTTGCCTCTGATGCCTGTAGCTTTCAAAAAAATTATTACAGTTAAGCCAACTTAAGCTACTGAGAGTGAATGCCCAGGTTATCCTTATTTTATCACTCCATTGCTGTACTATGATTTTATTAAGAGCATAGTACAAACCCCAGGCTTTAGAAGAAATACTGCAAAAAAAGGATTTATAAGCAATCATTGGCCATTATCTCTGTCAGGACTTTAGTTAACAGACTAATAAATTCTTTATGTAGTAGCAAACTGGATTATCAAGGGCCAACTGAGGCAGGTGAAATCTTCTGAAGAATGCAATTGAAAGATTGGCCTCCTTTTTTGGAGACAGTATGTAACTTGGAATAAAGTACTTTTTTTAATAGTAAGGTGTTTCATTTGAGCATCAAAAGATTCTGCCCTCATGGAAGGTATATGGCAGCGTTCAAGATCTGTGATTTTTCTAAGAGCAAAGCAGACCATGCATTGTAAATGTTGTCACAACCTAGAAATGGAGATGGCAGTTGGGGTTACAGGGGAGAGGGAGAAGAATCAGTTTGGTCTTCACATGATGAAAATACTACAACAGGCAAAAAGTGTAAAATAAGGTAATTTTTGAGGAGAATCTGGATCTAAGACTACCAGTACAGTCAACTCATCTCCTGAAAGGTGACAAGAGCACATTTTATTTTTGGTACTGAGGAATCATTGCAGGTGTAGTCTGGCCCATATATACTTCTCCAGATGGCATGGTGCAACAGTGATGCTGGTACTCAACTACTTGCAAGGCAGGGAATCCTTCCCTCAAGAAATGTAGTCCTCCAGGTAATGTGGTTCTCACCCAGATTTGAGTTACTGAATGCTACCTTTAATGTAGTATTCAGTAACTCATTTAATGTAAGTAGCATCTCTCTGTGTGATGGTCATGCTGTTCTGTCTGTATTTTACCTTTGAGGAGATGCAGGTAAATCAAGCTTTCTCATGCGGATGGAGAAGTATGTAAATGATCTCTGTCAGTGGGGAAAGCATGTGGCTGCTGCATAGCAATTAGTCAGTCTGCTCCTGTGGTAGCAATCAAAGGATCTGTTTAAGAAATGGATTATATTTTCAGTCAATAGCAAAATTATATTTTTATTAGTGATCATCTGTTCATTACTACTATTCACTATGTGTGATGGTCATGAAGGGCCCACACCCATAGTGTTAAGAAACTGGAGAGGAATAAAACAAAAAGTGGCATTTAGTCCCAGAACTTTTTTCAAGCTGAATGATACAGGTTTATTAATAAAACTTGCATATACTTTTGATGAGTACTTAAGCACTCTTAACATGACATCTAACTTGATAGTGGTTTATAGCTACCAAAGTCAGAAAGAAACTTAGTCAAAGGAAATGCTGTTGTGCATAAAACAGTTCATGTTCTTCTATAGAATGACATCTGTAGCTAAACATAAGCTCTCTTATCACAAAAACATGACGTACTTTGAGGAACACATGGTTGATACTACAGTGTCACTGGCAAAATGTGATTCCCTCTCAGGGCAGAAACCATTTAAGCTTCTCATAGTAGCTGTGAACTATGTACGGTCCAAATGATTGTCAAGTTTTATGTTTAAAATAAGGTGATCTGCAGGGTGTTGTGGGTAAATATTTGTCTTGTTTTAAAGATTGTTAATACTTATTGGGTGTTTACCCTCTATGCAAATGAAGATTTACTTCCTGCAAGCAGTGCTAGAAGAGAGGTGAAAGACATTTGTCCTACATACTGAACAAAAGCCGTTGGGTAGGCACAGCACTGCATGGTGACCTGGGTGGGACATGGTGCCAGTTCAAGGAAAGCACCTGGTAGTAATTTCCACACATATGGATGGCTTGATGCTTTTTTTTTGCCCAAGAAGAACATATCAATGGGGAGGGCACAAATCAGGATTTCAGATAACTGAATTCTAATTTTGAGTGCAGTAGCATCTAACCTTGTGCAGTGTACTAAGGTTTCCTCTGCCTTGGTTTATTTCTCTCTGTAACAGGGTATTCAGTCTAATTTTTCCCTGGAAAATGATTGATTTGATGAAGTCATTTTACAAAAGCCAGTTAATTACTGAAAAGTAATTCAGTGGCAATGCAAATACTGTGATGACTGGTCTGAGGACAATAGGTCAGTAACTTCACCATGCTATCACTAATATTGCCAACAAAATTATTGTGCAATCCTTACGTAGGTAAAGTGCTTATTGAATTTGGATGACAGACATGAGCTCTGTGTGGGAAAATACTTTGATCTTGGAAAAGAGCCATCAGCTTGAGAATGGAAATTAGAATGAGGCTTCTGATTCGGCTCTGGTCAAATCCTCCTGTCCAAGGCTCAGGTGAATGGAAACTTTTATTAAACATGAGTACTCAGCATTTGAGGGGGTGGAATCATCTGTGAGGGCACACAGGATCTTAATATTTAGGAGCAGCTTGTACAAGCTGAAGAGGAACAAGGCCTCCTGAGCTGAAGGGCCAGTGACATTGCCTGTTATCCTGTTAATCAGCCAAGCCCTGATCTTAATGGTAAATAACAAGATCTGTATTGCCTGATTGTCATCTGGACTGCTAATCTCAGGGAAGAAGAAATATTTCCTTTGTGCCAGATATCCTCACTGTCTTCTCTGTCAATGAAATATTCTTACGGTATTCTCTTACAGGCCACATTATGGGCAGCCTTGTGTCACGTGTACGTTATGTTCTGCCTTACACTTGTGTAACTGGGAAAACTTTTTCTTTCAACTGTCCTACTCATTACTGAATGTGGTCAAGCTGTCCTCGAGTACAGACAGTGGATGGGACTTGATAGGAGCTAGAACCATTGCAGTGAATCAAAAAGCCCAGGAGAGTGCTTATGTTGCTGTCATTTGTATGAAGTTCCCCTCAGAATTCCTAGGGCTATGGCCCTTTCTGGATTGCCACCACTGGTTTGCAGGCAAAGTCTAGTGGTATCCAAATCAAAAAAGTTTGGGATCAGATATTTTCCTAAAACTGATTGAGAAGCTGGTTCTGAATTACACCAGAAGATGAGGAAGAAAGAGATGAGAAAGCTGCAGATCAACAATTCTTCATGTGCTCAAACAGCCAACTAGGATGTATTTGCTACTTTAACTAGTACTCCTAGATGACATTTATTGAGAAATATTGATGTCACTTTTATAAGGAAATTGGATCCATCAATAAAGCCCAGAGCAAATTTGGGTAAAATACTGCTGTGATGTCTGTAGGAAGGAGCAGTGATAGACAGGAAAGCAAACACTTCAGAGGAAATGAAATTGGGCTCCTTTGCAGTGTGATGCCATGAGACCTCTCAAATCTCTCCTGGAGTTTTAATTTCCTGTCTAGCATCAGGCTGATTTGACCAACTCTGGGACAGACGCTTTGCTGTAAAAGCACTCCCAAAGACTCTTAGTAAGCTGAATGGCATTGTTCATCTTCACTGGTGTTGGACAATAAACACTGTTGGTCACAGCCTGTTACAGTAGCAGTGGCAAAGAGGATGTTTGCAGAAATGCTTTTGAATGGCAAATTGTTTTAATCCCTCCCAGCTGCAGGCCTTCGCCTTTCTGGTTCAGAGGTTTCTCTAGCACTCTTGCAATATTCCTACAGCAGATTTGTGTCTCATGGACTCCATGAAAAGCTAAACTACCAGAGAACCAGACCTTAGGATTTCAATTTCAGGGTTATGGAATCTTAAATAACACTGTGTCTTGTATGACCTTGTATGAGGTCAGGCATTTAGCCAAAGAATATTCCTAAATAAGTCAAACACAGACTAAATGCACAGAGGAACTCCTTTAAACATATTTAAACATAGTTTTAGGAAAAATAATGTAACAGATCAAAAATGGCATCTGGTGGACTTCACTGTTCACTTGATGTAATTCTATTAGAACAGAAAGGATCTCTGTGTCCTAGCTGTGTTTCCAAAATAGTAGCCATCATTTTGTTTGTTTTGAATTTGATGCTACAGAGCTATGAGAGCCCGAATGTTTTTAGTGTACGCAGTGTGAGGAAATGGCTTTTACCCAATGTTAGCGTGCAGAAAATCATCATGGTGCTGGGCTAGATTTCCTTAAAATGAATCTTTGCTTTACACAGCCTTGTAGTATCCTTTGCATTGAAAGCAGTTTGTAATGTAAGCACATTTTCTCGGTTTACTTGAAATGGTAAAAGCTAGTGTAATACAGTCTAAGAAATTGCTCCACAGAATGCATATACTCGTATTATGTGACTGTGTGTAATATGTTTGTGTGTACGTGCCATCTATATGCACACACCCCTACAGAGGTGATGTATCTATCAAGATTAGAGGTAATATTTATATAATGCATTGTGGAACCATCCAGTAAATAGACTAGGGTGTTTTCTCTGGACTATGATGGATAAGTCTGCCGTACTTACTCTAACATTTTGAAACTCCAGATTAAAGTGCATTTTTCCATTACAAACAATCTTCAGTACCTTTTCTTCCTTCTTAGCTTATATGTTGGATCCTCACCCTTAGAATTCAGACTTATATTATGCTAGGGTTATAATAAAAGTTTCTCAGTTGTTAATGAAATATAACCATTTTTCTAGTACTTAAATCTGGTTTTTGCAACAAATGCTGTTTTGTAAAGGAGCAAAGTTACTTAGTCTTCATCAGCTTGCTCTCCAGAACGTTTTTGCAGTGATTTTTGTGCCCACGTCACAAAATAGCAGCGTGCATAAGGAATCATAATCCATTATAGAACAGCTATCTGATATGTGGTGAATCAGTGCTGAATATTTTTGCTGGCACTTGTTTGAGATGCCTTTGACCCATGTAATGCAACCACTCATGACTTGTAAAACCTCTCATGATGTATTGTGTGCTGTATAAAACACAATAGCAATGTGGATTTAATCTGTATATGAATTCTGCATTTAAATTTGTTAAACAAATTCTTCCTTTTCAGGATGTGGATGAAAACAGCATATTCTGATAGAAGTCTTTGGGGAAAACTGTGTGTTTAAAAACTGCTCAAGCTAACATGCTTGGATTACATATGAACTGATGAAGCCATTATGCTTCATATTACTGTATCAGTATTTGGATGTCCATACTCATCTGATTCTAGACCTGAAAAGGGAACAAGCAGGAGGTTTGGTTTGGTAGATAGTTTGTTGTCTTAGTTATGTTAGCCAGCTAACATTTAATTGTCTGCTGGAAGGTACACTTAAATAACACTTGTTTAGAGCCTGTGGACACTCTCAGTAGCTGTGAATTAACTCGCTTAACATCAGCTACGCTCATTGGAGGATTAAAGCATTGCCCTGTGCCAGTGTGTGCTAATACAAGCTGCCTAATGTGTCAGTGCTGCCTCTTGATCTCAGTGGATCTATATGTGATTTGCAGTTTAGTATAATTCTAGGCGACATGAGAGAGCGAGCTTCTCTGTTCCAGTGTGCCTTAAGTTGTTACACGTCTTTGCCTTAGACTGGACAGAGGAATCAATGATGCATACTGAATAAGATTATGGCAGCCTCCCAGTACGTAAAGTGGGCCTATAAGAAAGCTGTAGAAGTACATTTTACAAGGTCATGTAGGGATAGGACAAAGGGGAATGGTTTTAAACTGGAAGACGAGTGGATTTAGATTAGTTATTAGGAAGAAGTTCTTTACCATGAAGGTGGTGAGACACTGGCACGGGCTGCCCAGAGAAGCTGTGGCTGCCCCATCACTGGTTCAAGGCCAGGTTGAATTGGGGCTTTGAGCAACCTGGTCTAATGGAAGGTGTCCCTGCCCATGTCAGGGGCCTTGAAACTAGATGATCTTCAAGGTCCGTTCCAACCCAAACTGTTCTAGGATTCTATGAAAAGTGAGTAGATGCTAACGTGGATCTTCCCCAGACTGATCACGTGATAAAAGGTGTTTGTTGACAGTATTGGTCTATCAGACTGATGCCCAAACTGGAGTCAGGAGCTTGCAAATTCTTAACTGCTTATTCTTCTGAACTTAGATGTGTGCAAGGATAGGCGCAGGTAGATGCAAGCACCTATTCCCCTACTCTACTCCTGGCTGGCCAGATGCAAGTGCTATCTCAGTCCAGCACTGCCTAGGCTCTGCACTTTAGCAGAGGTTTTCAAGTGGTTATGGAGGCTATCAGGAGATTGCCAAAGCAAAGCTTTGGTATGAGAACCAAGGGATGACCTAGAAGCCTAAGAGTTGTGGTTGAATTTAATTTTGAGCCAGTGCTGCCCTCTGCTGAAAGGAATCCTCTTTTGGTTAAGTCAAGTATTGATGCTTTTTGTCACTTGAAATTAAGCAAGGAACTGATTTAAAACTCTTCTCCAAAAATACAGCATGTGTACTGTTTAGATGATTTAGTTGAAATCTGTGCTTTCTCTAAATACCAACTTTGCTGTTTGTCAAACCCAGACCATGCATAGTTGGGTGGGTGAGGATTTGCCAGCTAGGACAACTACAGCTTCCTCAGGGCCCGGTGAAGGAAACTTGGAAGAGAAATGCAAACAGGTAGACTAAAAACCGTGTGCACTAATCACACTAATCGTGTTTGCAGTCTCAACTCAATTGTCTAGTGTAAAGAGACCTTGACTGGGAGCCTGAAAAAAGTGTGTCTGTCTGTGAAGTTAATGTTTGCTTCGGTGTGCTTTTCTGTTAATTCTCTTGTAGTCGCTCATAAGCAACCAGGGTATGAGATCCTCTTGTTTTATGGGACTGCCAGTGTTGTGGAGTCCATTGCCAATGTTAGAGTAACTTGAAAACTGCTTTCACATAGCTCAGGCAACTATCTGCTTTTTCTGCTTGGTCTGTTGGAGCAGCAACAGCAGCAGTCATAAGGCACTTGTATTAAGCTTAGATTACTGATCGCATTTCCTTTCTAAAATCAGTGGATTCTTCCAGTTAGCCTTGATCTTTTTGCTTAATGAGCCCAAACAATTTCAAAGAGACTTTACAAAAATACAGCCAAGTTGCAGAGGTTACAGATTTTGATAAAACTGTCCAATGCCCACTGTCTAAGTAGAGCCCAAACCCGAAAGCTGCTAAAGTACTTGTGTCCCTTTAACAACTGGTACTGTTGGACAGCATTAATTGCATCGACCTAAATGTGAAGCTTTGGGTGTTGCCACCAGTTTGTGGAACCTGATCCCTCACTGCATTGTTACAAGGAAAACAGTAAAGTTACATAAGTGATCCTTTGCAAATGATTCAACAACCTGACGTGAAGCCAGACCCCCTCACTAGCATAGTCAGGCTCTGAAGTCACTAGAGTTTACCTAGCTCAAGCCAGCAGAGAACTGCTTCATTAAGATTAGATAATCTGTAGTGTCTACGTTATATGTCACTGAAAAGAGATGGATTAGGGTTCCACACTAATAGTACAGGGACACAAAGACAAAGGAAAATTCAGCTTTTACTCCTTCTTCAACTGTATATCATCAAGCATGAGTGTTGCATGGAGAATGTTTGTACATTGTGTACGGAAATAAGGGTTTTTTTGCTTGTTTTAAATCTATCTACTCCAGTAATCTAGTGAAACAAGAGCCAAGATTTTCAGAAATGGCCAGTGATCTGCAAATATGAAAATGTCTGTCACAAGCTAAAAATACACAGATTTAAAATGCTTAGAAACATTATCTGTAAAAGATGTCCTTTGATTAGATAAATGTGTATGAGGTAAATGAAACTTAGAGGATTATCAAGTGTTTCCCTATCTAAGTGTTAAGATGGGTGTAGAAATGCTGCTTCTGATGCTCTTCATTGCTGAAATAAAACTAACTGTATTAAACCTGGAAGTATTGCAAGAGTGAAGCTTGGAGCATGTTGTAGGTGTGATTTCAAGGTATCATGTGCCTTCTACCTTTTGAGGTCAGTAACAGTGTTCTTGATTTTTTGGTAGCAGGGCCAAAGACCTTTGTGTGTTAAATCTTAAGTAGGAGCTTTCATGTAATGGCTTTTGCCTTGATTATGTTCTTTTTAAATAGACGTCAGTCATCCAACTGCACCTGTAGGTTTATTTTAGGCAAAAGCCATTATTTCATTCTGTTTCCTTAGAAGGTCTTCAAGAATGACCGTATTTCTAACCCATCAGTGGGAGATACATGGCACAAAGGCCTATGAAACTCTTTCCCACCTCACTGTACCTTGGGCAGCTTCTGAGTTAGCAGGCATTTTAATCTCTGAGCAATCTCTCAACCCTGGAAATCTTGTTGATTAACCTTCCTGTTTTATTTTGTTTTTTATCTCACTTAATGAAATCTTTTTGTTCTGACACAGAAGATCTGCATGTCCACTTCCTAACCATCCACAATACGCATGCCATTCATGAACAGGAATGTACTTTGGCATGACTTCGTATTCAGTCACTTTGCATTCAGTTCAACATGCTGATTGTTGTTCTGAGATCTTGTTTGCAGTAATATTTTTATTACAGAAGATACTATGCTGGTGAAAACTTTAAAGTTCTTGGATCAAAATGGACAGAAATACACACGATATATGGATACCAGGCAGGCTTCATGGCAGAGTTGTCCAAAACTTCAGGTCAGAGGAGGGTAGAGTATGAGTTAAGAAAGCCACGGGGAAAACTGTCTTCCCACTTCTTTCATGCTCACATCTTTAGTGTGAAGTGAATAATGACATACCATGTTTCTGTTCAAGTCAGTGAGAGTTTTGACAGGAGGCAACATGATCCATGTGAAATGAGGAGTCTAAGGACCTGTTATATGCTGCAGTCCTTGGAAACCCATTGAGTGTTGTGTGCCTCAGTTCTTTGTTGGCCATATGAAAAGGATGTTATTTACCAAACTTTCATAGATGGAAAATGTTTTCATATACAAAGCTGTGTTACTGCAAGTTCGGGCTGATAGCGAAGGAACAGTGTAGCTTGAATTGCAACTTGCACACTGAAACAATGAGGTACTTTGGTTCCTCTTCACTGTGAAAGGATTTTTGTGTACCTGAGTTCATCATCTGCTGAAAGATTCCACTTCCCAGGGAACTACAGATACACTTAATTATTGCAACTTTGCAAACACAAAATTCCTTCTTTGAATCAATGAGAACAGTGACTGTACAGTTATTGCCACAGCAGTGAATTATATTTTTATCCTCTTGTTTTTCATTTTTAGGAAGTTTTAGAAAGTTTTCATAGAGGTCAGACACAAGTGTCTGCTTCTCCTAAGCCTGTATGTAAGCTGTTCCAAAATAAGAGCACTTATAGCTTTGCTTCTAACTTTGTGATTTAAGCCACTCTTTGGTATCCAGGTATGTATTCTGGAGGTTGATGTGTCAATGGCTATGTCCCTGTTGGAGAAGGTGGTGCTGCAGACCATCAGAGGTCATTTATCTTTTCTTCATTTTTATCGTTCTTTTAATCAATGTGTATATTTTTGTATATTTTCAAGGCAAAGGCAGGGGAAAATAAACAGAATTAGTGCAATCCACATGCATCATGTGCTGTTGGGGAAGCCTTGTTAGGGACACTTAATATTGATTACTCTTGCAGATCTGCACGCTGATGTATTCTGCTTCCATTCCAGTTTTATTCCATTGTCTTAGTTCAGCATATGCAGAGCTGTATGTTTGCTAATAGAGGTAGTGGAGACCCTGTTATGGCAGCTATTCTATCCAGGCGAATAGGGCAAACCCTGTCCAGTGAATTTAATGGTAACATTCTCAATTATTTCAGTGGTACCCTGGTTTTACTTATTAAATTTGGGAATTCTGGTGGGGTTTAGCCTGTCCATTTGTGAGAGAATGACGATTCTCACCATCCCAGTAGATCTTCCACTTCTGATGGAGTCTTCCATTGCTGAAACAGCCTCAATGGTAAGACTTGCGATGAGAAGTGAGAAAACAGAAGGACGGATTGTCTGTCTGATGAAACAAACTCATCAGATCCTTAGGAGAAATAGTGATTGGGTGTGAAGAAACCTAGGTCCATTCACACTTAAAATAAAAAGCATGTGAATGATAGATTGCAGTCCTACATTCTTCATACTTCTGGGTTTGTTTTCTGTAAATGTTTTCAGTGACTTGTTCAATTGAAATATATGCTGGACAGGACGATGGTAAGATTTTCTCACTAGCTGTAAATAGCTGTACAATTCACATCTGAGAAGTTAAGGATATAAATGCAAAAGTATATTGTAAGATCTAAGAACTAAAAAGTTAACTATAGCAGTTAGCATTTCATTATGACATAACAAGGAACATGTCAAAAATCGGTCTATTATGGGAGTAATCTGTTTGGGTGAAACACACATTGTTTACCATAAGGATCGCTACCAACAGAGTGCATAATCTTTTCAAAGAATAAAACCTGATGGTCTTTTCTTTTGTCTTTTCAGGCAGCACAGATAGTCCTGATTTCTCTCTTTGAACTGAACACTCCTGAGTTTACCATGTTACTTGGTGCCTTGCCAAAAACATTCCAGGATGGTGCTACCAAGCTCCTGCACAACCACCTCAAGAACTCGAGTAACACCAGTGTGGTGAGAGGCCCTTGTTCTTGCAAACAGCAGAGCCTCAAAGACAGCAGCTCATTGATGAGCTGTTTCAGATGCTCAGTAGCATGAATTATTTGTAACTTTCTTGAAACAATATGGCAACAGAGGCTTCTATTTGATGTTGCTTTTATGGGAACCATTAAAACAAAACATTCAGTTGTTTTTAGATTTAATATAGCCATAAGCAGTACAGACTGGGAGGTGGGAATTATAACATCTGTGCTTTTGAAAATCCTGCCAGTAACAACCTTTTGGCTTAAACCAGAAATCCTGATACAGTAGATTTTTCTGGGCCTACCACTACTATTGAAATCTGTTATATTGTCTTCTTGGAAGCTCACAGGATCTACAAGGTCTCCTCAGTCTACACCTAGAGGGGAGACCTACAAGATCTGCTCAGTCTAAACTTACTACATTATGCTTTTTTTTTTTTTGCATGAAGCCCTTGCATACTTTTATTTCTCTGAAGCAATATGTTATTAGAGGCTTTAAGCGTTTTTCTAAACCTCTTTTCCCCCCAGAACAGCAAGGATTAGGGCATTTTTTGCCTTTTTTATGTGGAAATCTTGTGAAACTTGCTGAAATTTGAACCCTCCTGTCTGCGCTTCTATAGGGACAAGTAGACCCTTTGTCTACGCTGGAACTGCAACGTTAGGCTTCCAGGCAAATGAATTGGATTCTCTAGTACCTTTGACTTTGTGTGAACAGTCATAATTGGGAGCAATTTCAACTCATTTTGGTGTGGTACAAATGGTTGTGGAGGCCAGTGGAAAAATGATAAGTTAGATTGCTTGCTTATGCTCTTAACAAGCACAATCAGAATGCTTTAGACAATGCAGAAAATAGCTGCATAATTAAATTGCTAAATTGCCAGGATAATGGTTTGCATACTTTGGAGCCTGGCAAATAGTATCTGAGAAGCTGGGTAGCCTGCTGGATTGATAAGCCATTTATCTGGTAATATTTGCAGGCTGTGTGTGTTGCATAGTTAAAATTGCATGTACTGTGGACTGTAGGAAAATGCACATGCATTCTTTATCCTCAGAGCAGTACCTTCAAGAACATACTAATGACTATATGAACAATGGGTACAGATTTTTAGGTCAAGAGCCAGAACCAAAACTACACTAAGTTTGTCTAGCACAAAGGCAATATTTGGACCTGCTGTTGTATACTCCTGCCTGTCCATTGCAACATGCTGCTAATCCCTGTCTTCTGCCTTTGTGCTAGGGTTCCCCCAGCAATACCCTTGGTCGGACCCCTTCCCGGCACTCCAGCAGCAGAACCAGCCCCTTAACTTCACCTACCAACTGTTCCCACGGTGGGCTGTCTCCAAGGTAATGTGGCAGGCTAAGTAAACCACTGAAAAATATATTAAAGGATTTCAGCACTGAGTGTGCATTTGCAGAATATGACTCACTTTGAAAGCAAAAACAAGACCAAAAGTTTACAGTAGATTTCTCCAAAGAAACAGGGTTGGAACATTATAATACATGGTTGGTGATGGACTTCAGTGTTCCAGTCCTCATGTCATCTGTGTAATCTTAATGTCTTTTCTTATAGTACCAATTTTCTTTCATACCTAGGCCTTCTCCAGAGCTGCATTTGTGGTTTCAGTAAAGGTAATACGAAATGGCAGTATTAGAAATGAGGTCTTGTTGGGGTTGTAAATAACATGAAGTATATGATAACTTTCATGTCAAGGGGTTCAGGCTTTCTGTATTTCAGGTGTGCCCTTGTGCTCAGTAATTCATCTGACTGTAGTGCAGTGCTTGTGCTGTTGAGAGAAGTACTGAATTTCCAGTTCCCCTTTTATGCTTTGTGAGGATGCAGAACAAGCAGAGGTGGTGACTGTATTTTAATGCTGAGTACCTCTCAAATCACTCTCCTGGCTGCTTACCAAAAGAATAGTGGTCTGATCCTTCAGGCAGCAGGTCTATTACAACCAGGTGTTTTGCTGAAGATGCAGGTGCTACGCTAGAATATATTGGTCCACTACAAAACCTTTTATTTTGCACGCATGGACACTTGCATATGGGAAATGTTCATGTTTCACCCCATAAAAACTTAGAGCAGTGGAGACAGGAATTTAAACAGTGTGCTCTGGCACTATAGAAATATTGGAGGAAGTGTTAGGTTATTATTTAGAGAAGCTTTGATTTATGCTGGGAAAGCTTAAAAGCTGTTGCTATTGTCTGCCTGTCCTCTCTATGGGAGGTTGTCTCCCTTTATCATGGAAGAAATGGAAATATGTTGGGTGGGGACTGCAGTTTGTAGTCCAGTGTAGTAATTTACACTGAAATTTAACCCTGTTGTGATGTGCTAACCATGTCTGGAGGGATGCTTAGACATGTGAGTTCCCGTGTGTCAGAAAAAATATAGGCTTTTAGCTTTTCATAAGGAGTTAAACTAATTCCAGCAGCATATGAGGAACACATGGGGTTTCCTGAGAAAATTCTAGATATCTAAATACATCTTTGTGATCCCTAAATCTGCTGTAATCCAAAACTAGACTGGGTGGTTGCAAGCCAAGGTCAAGTTGCCTATTATGAGGGCTTTTTTAACAAAGGTTTAATTAAGAAATTAAGTGGTAGAGTTTCAGGGGAATGGTTCCAACTATGTTGCTTCCTTTTTGACTAGTCTGAGCATTGTTGTCCTGCTGATTTGTCATGGGAAATCATAAATTGAGATATATCTCCCTGTGGTTACGTTGTGGCTTTGTTGGCCACGTTTGCATGTGGCACTTATTTTATAAATTCATGACCTTTTACCATGCTTTTTGAGGTTTTCCACTGGGACATGACAGTGTTTTGCCACTTCACTCACTGCTTTTCAATTTGTCTTTGCATTCTTTTCACCTCTTGATGTCAGGATGCATGTATCAAATTATTGATTATAAAGTTTTCAGCCGACACTTAATACTGTGTTGCTGTTGTTTTCTGGCATCTTGGGTTTAGGAACTGGAGGGGTTTTTCCCATGTGATGTTCTCAAGGAATAGTTAGAGGCATGTAATTCCAGAGCCTTCTGCCATTAAGCTGTCAAGACCAAAACTACCATTGATGCGCTGGGCCAGGAATTTCCTTTAGGAAACAGTCATTCATGCCTTCAATTTTCTTTGGAACTCTTGGAGATGTTGATCCAAAAATTTAGGTGTCATTTCAAGAAAGTTGTCCTTCTTCCTTGCTGGATTTAGTTATTCAAGGATGGTGAGTCGAAGATAATCTTTAATGATAGGTGAAGGTGGGAGCTGCTGTAAAAGCCCTTTAAAATAAACAGGGGAGAAGTTCTACCTTATTTTTTTATGAGTGACCTCAACAGCAGCATTACCTGCTAATTTTTACTGTTTGTAGAAAAGTTGGTGGCAAGTATTGCAATCAGTGGCAGTGGCTTCTGATGGTCTGCTGGACTACATCCTTCTTGAAAGTGTCTTGTGTACTAGTTTGAGCGTGGTTCTGACTTGGAGAACAAGGGAATTTAGGTCTGTTTCTGAAGAGTTTATGTGGCTATCCTTCTTTCAAACAAAAAGCTTCAGAAGATATGCTAAACAGATTGCAGGAATTAGGGTACACTGCAGTACCCTATCTGCAGTCTACCTGCAGGAAGTAGACTGCAATACTATTGCAGTTGTTAGCATAGATGCTTGTGTGTCATGTTTCCATTACAGATGCTTGTCTTTTGCTGTTCATTGGTGGTGTAAAATGTCACTTTTCTCTCTACAAACCTGGAAAATGAGCACACTCAAGTCAGTCTGATAGCAGTATAAAAGGATCAAGATTCCCCCAGTTTCTCTGTGTAGTCCTTCTCTGAAACAAGGCTTGGCTTTACATTTTTGTGGGACCCATTGTCAGTGGGTTGTACCAAGACTGTGTATACCCATTGTTTCCTAGGGCGCTCCATGTACAGGCCCTGCTTACCTTGTCCATGCCTGTGTCTTTTACAGCAGCCTGAATGCAGCCAGTTAAGAGATTATCTCCAGTTCTTAATGCCAGTTTTGAAGATTATACTTTTCTTTACCTTTTTTTCTTGATGCACAGATTGAAGTACTCTCATCTAGAGACATATATGTCTTTGGGGCTGGGATATGTGCAGAAAGGATAGTTTGGCACGTGTACAAATATAAACATGCTACTAAGCATAGCTGGTCTCCCATATAACTAATGATTTGTGGACAGTATCTTCAATCAGCATGGCTTTGTTGATACAGACTTTCTATAGTATGTGTGTATGCCATTGCCCTTGGGTTACATTACTTCTTCCATAGTATTGCCATCACAACTGAATTCCAGATGACGGATTTTTTTTGTGTGCGTGTGTATTTGTGTGTTCATGTATTTGAGTGCTCTGGGTAGATTTTGAATGTTTTGCTTGAACTGGACTTTATGGATGCAAACAGCTAATTTGTCTATCCATATGATAACATCTGCTTAAGCATCCTCTGGTGTTAGTGTCTTCAGAAGGGTAACGTGCTTTCAGGGCCTTGGGCAGAGTCCTTCCTGCTTTCATTTGCTCCATTCAATTCTGCTTCATGATCACTAGAACATACCCACTTCATCTATGAGTTACTTTTGCATTTGTACCTGCTTTTTTTTGTCTTGACAGTTTTAATTTTGGGGGAAGAGGAATTATGGAGGAAAGAGGTGTTTTCTGAAGATGAAAAGCAGGGAGGGCACCTCTGAAGACTGAAAATAATAGGAAAAAAACCCAGACTTCTAACTGAGAAGAATGTTTCCTGAGCAGTGCTCGGATGAATGGCTTGTGTTAGACAGAAAATCTCCTGAGATTTAGTGAATGATTTAGTATGACAAAAAGGAAAATACTAAGTTGTGAAGTCCTCCAGTGTAAGAATACCGTTCTGAATAGCAAATGAACTTCTGTAAACTCAAATGTTACATTCAGGTTGTGAATTTTCACCTAGGATTCTGTAGGAATATTTGAAGGAGCAACAATTTAATATATTTGCTCTACTGTTTCTGCCTTTACTAGTAGCCCAGAAACCTGTGCTCAGTTCAAATTATTAGAAAAACAAACCCCAAAAAGTAAGTTTAGTCCTGCAAAGATCTCTAGAGGAAATGCCGCAAAATAAGGGGTAATGATTTTATCTGGCTGTGTAAGTTTGTGCTTGTTTTTTTCCCCTGATAATAGAAAATACCAGTAAAAATAAAATTTCATTATTAAGTTGAGCAAGGCATGGAAAAAGAATTAAAAATAGCCACCCACCTTGTACAATGAGAACAAGCCTGCTTTGTTCGGTGGTCCATGTGCAGGTAGGTGTTTCTCACCTGTGAACTGTGAGACTTCTGATCAGCAGTGCGGGTGTCTGGTGTATTTCTGTAATAGTGCATGTAATAGCTATGTATTTTGATTGCTGCTTAACAAGTAAATTTCATGACACCACTCTTCAGAGGAGTTTTTTCAACTGGCTTTGCTGCTGTTTGCAGTTCTTGACTTGACTGCTGCTTCCGATCTTGCAATATCTTTCACTTTCGTATATACAAATGTGACTTTCCAAGATAGTGTTATTAAACTTAATAGAAACAAAGTGCTGTCCTGAATACTCCACCAGCACAAGCATCTATATTCTCATTTAGAAGATGATTTTGAAAATCTGTGAAGCATAAAGGGAATGGGACAAATGCAAAGGTTAGACAAATTGGCATGGGTACGGAGTGCCTTGACCCAAAAGTGCAGGATCAAACAGTAACCAGAAGGAGCTTGTGGAATTTTGAGAGATCTGAAATGACTTAGAGGCTGGTTTCATCCAGTCTTTCCAGGTTTTTCTGCTGAGACCTGGACCTAGTCGCTAGTTTACAAGATAAGTTTCCACTCTAGACTGATTTCTACTTGCTGCATAGTTGGGGTCAGTTGAATCTGGTAAAATAGGATCAGATCTTAAGCCCTGCGAAGATGTGCTGGTTGTGTAGGGCCTGATTGCAGGAGCCAAACTTTACAAGGTACCCAACTTTACTTTCTTTCAGGGAAATCCTGTTGCTCACAAGTACCTGCTTAGAGTTTGAATACAGATGTGTGGTCAGGGATTTCTTACTTAGAATATATTGGGTTGTTTATGGAAGCTATATCCATCTATAAAATTTACATTTAGTAGAAGCAGGGCCTATTTTAGTGTGAACTGTATCGTTACATTAGAAATAAAAGTGGAAATGAATAACAAAGGCCAAAACAATGACTTATGAGGTTCAGTGGAGTATTCTTGTTTAATTTTGTTTCTATTAATTTTTCTCTCTCCAACGCAGCATGACAGCACTAAGCCACTCAGATTATAGTTTCTTTTTTTTCTCCCTCTCCTCTCTCTGTTTTTTCTCTTTCGTTTCTCCTCTGATTGCGGCAGTCGGTTCTGGGGTTGGAGTGCAGATGGGCTGTCGAAGCACCCCCCTCCCCTTTCTCAGCCTAACTCCATCCCCACTGCTCCTTCCCACAAGACTTTCAGACGCTCTTACTCTCCCAGGTAACAAGCTACCTGTTAAACCAACTTGTCTGAGGTGTCACAGTATTATTTACCTTTCACGCTGTGGGATTCGTTCATATGTGGGAAATGATTTGCAGAGCCTTTGGTTGGAAAAGGAGAAGAGGTAATGATAGCTTTCAGAGAGCAGAGGTGATAAGCAGCCACTTGCTAGCTGCTCAGGGAAGATGTGGCATGTAGGCGGGGGGGAGGAAGTGTTTCTTTCCAGACTTCCTCCCTTCCAGGTTGCTGAAAGGGTGTATGTTTCACAGTTGGCTTCCAATGCAGAACACAGTTACTGGGCACTTTCAGAAGGCACTGGGTGCGTTATGATAGCACGGGCAAGGTCTTTAAACTTGGGTACATTGTGCAAGCAGCACATGAGTACTTTCTAACAGGCAAATACAGCTCAGTAGTGATTTCAATAGGGCAGTGAGGATGAAGCTTGCACAGTGTGACTGTAGATGGAAGATTTAGGATTGCAATGAAAATTATCCTTACTGCAAGATTTAGGTTATCAGTCCCTAATTTTGACATCTCTTTTTCCTCCTGTGCTATCATATTTTCTTCAAGTCTACATACAGATCTTTGGTCGGTATAGTGGACTAAACCTGTATGCTGATTTTAATAAAAAAAAAAAAACAAACCACCTTCTAGATACAAATATAATTTCTCAGACCTTTATGTTAAATTCCTTGAATTTTTTTAAGTTTATACACTGACAACAGGTTTATTTGTCAGGAGAAATTACATCTACAGAAAGCCTATTACCTGAGGAAGTACTACATAGTCTTTCCTTGAAGCAAGAAGTTCCTAATGAAAAACTGTTGAAAGAAAAGCAAACAAATTGTTCTTTGAGGGCTCAAAATCTGGGAATCTGTGACGTCTGAGAGAGAAGATAGAATCCCATAGTCCATACCTCTGTAAATACCTGCAGAATTAAAACCTTTAATCAATGTTCTGATTCTTCTAGGACGTGAAAATACCTGTGGAAGAGATCCATGCTTATTTTTGGAGTTAAAGTAGTTGAGAATTTTTTTCCTCTTTTCGTTATTTGACACCAAGGTTTAGAGTAATTTGACATTTCAGCCCAGAGCCTGGAAGTGCAAGGAGGTGAATTACTGTGTACTGCTTGAGGATACTAAACTGTTGCTTACTTACACATAGTTTGAATTGGAAACTGAATAATAGTTTATGGAAGTAAAATGTATGTTATGTCAGACTGGAAAATTGACAAATAATATCTTGATAAAGTTGTAGAGAGCTGCATTGCTTTAGTGCAGCAGGAGATGGAAAATAATGTTGTGACATCCCTAAACATTGCTCATCTCTACTTCTTATTCATCCTGTGACTTTCCTCTAGTTTCTGCATGGGTCATAATTTGTTTTGTTTCTGTGCCCCCTTTTTTCTTTTCCTTTCTGAAAGGTGGGTGTAGTTCCATTTTTATTCCCCCCTTCCCCCCCCCGTGTTGTCTGTGAACTATTCCAGCGCACATACTGTCAATAGACATGTGTGTTCACATGTAGAGATTTTGTTCATCTAGGACACAGCCATAATGTGATCTCCTACACAGGCTCTCTTGACATATGAAATCACTGGATTCTTTAGATTTTTATTAAAATGTGGTTTTGTGCTTTGAAAAATGCATCAGATCAGTGGCTCTTTGTTGAGAAATTGCCTTAGTCCTGTAGCTTTGCAGAGTCTGTACTTTGATCTGTTCTTTGGTAGCAGTTTAGGGCAAAATTCATCCCTGATGAAAGAATCGATGATCGTAGCAGATTTAGTGTCATTATATCTATGATTATTTCTTGTTGGTTTGTTTTTTTTTTCCCATGGATTTCATTGTCATCTCTTAGTATGGGTACGCAGGTACAGTCACATGTATACCTTCTCAGATGGCAGTTTAATTGCTCACTTAAATACTCTATGAAGAATGCCTGAAGATCTATGAATTAAACATGCTTGAGCTCATAATTAATGTTTTTGAGATCATAGGAAACAAAGGTTTTCCTATCCCTGCCTGATACTTATAAAGAATTTAAAAACTGCCTTCACTTTTGTCAGAAAAGTTATCACAGTGCATTAGTGTCATTCAGCTGTCTGAAAAGTCCCAAATACTTTTGAGTTCTCTAGGTTTATGAACAGCTTTTGTTTCCAGATCCTAGCCTTTAAGTGGTTTCTCTTTCTTCCTGGCTTGACACACACTGTTTAAAGTTGAGGAGTTGTTCTTTGGTCTCTTTGCCAGAATACATGGTGCTGATGCTTATATGAGTGTAGTGCGAGCGTGTTGCTTGGAAGCCAGGGATTATTGCTATTTTCAGCGTGTTAATCCCAAAGGAATCGGGCAGCACCAATCTTTTCCTCTGTCTGAAGTGCCTGAGTTTCTTCCAGAAAAAAAAAAAATAATAAAAAGCAGTGGTTCTAGATATTTAACATCCTACTTTTAGTTCTGTTGAAAATAATAGCTGTGTACGCTGGACTTGGAAGGGATTTTCCCATTTTTATGTTTTTCCTTGCCCACCTCACAGGGAATCTTTCTTTTGTGGAAAACGAACACAGCCCTTTGTTCAGCCATCCTCCTCTCTAAGCCCATCCTGTCATCTTTCCCAGACTGTTAAGAAATAGTAACTCACCCCTGTAGGGAGCCACTTCTTGCCATTTATTGACAAACAACTTGATGTAAATGTTTCAAATTCTTTTGGTTTATTTGCTTCTGGCTCTGTTAAGATCCGAGACTCCACCAGAGAAATTGTTCTCAGTTAACTGGGTCTCTTCATTAAATGTCTCTTGGAAAACTGTCACACAAACTTAACTTCTAGACAGAGCAGAACCCTGCCAATAATGCCTTTTCATTTTGTTTGAGCTTGTAGGAGATCCTCTTCTTAGACACATCTTTTAATATCATCTGCCCTTGCATGCAAGGCTTTTTTCATGGAACTTTATTTTGGATAGCTCCTCAAGGGATCCCAAAACTTGTGTGGCTTTATGCTGCTGAGAAATTTATGAGGAACAGACAGACTGCAAGAAAGTATGAGATTTGAGTTAAAGAATTCCCAAACTTAGGCTCAATACTGAAATGCATTGTTTATCAAGACATTATGCAAGTGGTTTTGGTTTTACTGCTTTATAAATGAAAACGGGACATGTTAGACTAAGTTTTACATCAAGATACATTTTCCTTTTAATTTGAATCTTGTCACATTTGAATCCATTGATAGACTGTATTTGATGTCTTATGAAACTTACATTTCATTAATTTCATTTCCACCAGTTGTCACAACCCTTTAAGTTCTCATAGTAAGTGATTTTATTTTCCTTTTTAAATAACATCATTACTGTGCTGGGGAGAGCTTTGGGAGTTTTTGTTTTTGTGGAATGTAACTGTGACTTCCCCTCACACTGACGTAAGACCACTGATTTCAGTGGAGTTTCTCCTAGATTTAGCCCCATTTGAGGGGAGACTCAGACCCAAAGTCTGCTTTGATTCCATCCATGTTTTGTTACAAATCACTGTTACGAAGGGTACACCAAATCATCTGTCTCCAGCTTAACATTGTTTTTGTTAACAGTCAGAAGTGGATTCCAATTTCATATGTAACATTTCGTATGCATTTGGTCTTTAGTATGCTGGATTATGACACGGAGAACCTAAATTCTGATGAAATCTACAGCTCTCTTCGTGGGGTCACAGAAGCAATAGAAAAATTTAGTTTCCGTAGTCAAGAGGACCTGAATGAGCCAATCAAACGTGATGGAAAGAAAGACTGTGACATTGTAAGTATTGGATTGATTAACGTCCCCAGATAGGTGAAATTTTAAAATACTGTGTTCAAACCTGGCTTTGGATTGTTAGTGTATAAAATCCAGTTATTCCTGCTGTTTTCTTACAAGTATATTTGGCTTACTGCTTACTAACTTCTTATACCTAAATTATAGGGGCCCACTAATGTGGTCACTTGCTCCCTTTGAACTGTAGCTTTCTGTGAAAAGTGCTTTCTGGTGTTCTGTGGGAGCCTGTTCCTCAGGCTCAGATGAGAGTGTATGTAGTCAGGTCTGTGATGGGAAATGTTAGGTCTTAAAATTAATGGGTGCTTTCCCTCACAACCTTTTCCCTCACAACCAATTTCTTCATGTATAGGAAGGAACTATAACCACTCACTGCAGAACTCATATCATACATTATACTACATGAATGGTTACGGAATTATTTACCGTGTGAGTTGCCATTTATTTCATTAAATACGTGGACTTCAACATTTCCAGAAATCTTAAACGATGATCCTTATGGGTCCTTTCCAGCTTGAGATATCCAGTGACTCTATGACAGTTTTGCTTCCTGGACAAGCAAGTTTATGTTAGTAGATTAAGTCAGCCTTCAAAGCTAAAAATTCTTGGTCCAGGATTCTTCTTCTAGACCCTTCTATTGTTCATTCTGTGTGAACTTGCTAAGCATCATTCAGTCTCCTCTATCTCTGGTTTGTGAAGTTTCATGAGGAGGATGTTGCTTTTGTTTCCTTTCCCTCTCTTAGCAAATTGGTTTTGTTCCAGAGGTTATTACCTTTGCCAGCTTGTGCAGGTTTAGCAATATTAACTTAGATTTAGGAATGTTAGTATGGCTTTTTGCCCTATGATCATGATATATTTTTGGAACACTTGTACTTATGTAAGGGAAAGAGGTAGTAATCTAAGTTTTACTCAAGTATGTTGAAACAACTCTATGCCTCTTCAAGGTGGGTGGACTCCAAAAGAAAAATGCAGGGTTTGAGTAATCTCATGTTTTTTCTCTGTTTGATCCCCCAGGTGTCTCGAGATGGTGGCCTTGCTGTGCCTACCAGTGATGTCCGTGGAAGCAGTGACATTGTGGAAGGTGGAAGGATGGCTCTAGATAACAAAACTTCCCTACTTAACACCCAGCCTCCCCGCGCCTTTTCAGGGCCACGTGCTCGAGAATATAACCCCTATCCTTATGCTGACACAATTAACACCTATGATAAGACTGCCCTGAAGGAAGCAGTGTTCGATGATGACATGGATCAGCTTCGGGATGGTTTGTATCATCATGTACCATAAAACTGCAGGCAGCTTACTCTGTTTCTGGTCTTTTTTATTTATGGGTAGTGCTCTCAGGTGCATGTCTGCACATGGATATGTTTTGTATTACTTCACATCTTAGTCCAGGCTTGGTATGAAATACATTTTGTTCTCATGTGCCAGCAGAACATCATCTGTGGCTATTGAGAAAATGTTATACTGCAGTTTTGATTTTTGTTTGCATAGAGTTTTCCCCAAGCTAGTCCCTTAAGTATCTAAATGCATCTATAGGGACACTATTTTGGGGACCTTCCACTCTTTGACATCTCATTCAATAGCTTCTTACTGAGCATTTAACTTCATTTAAGTGATGCTACACCTTAGCTTTATTCTTTTGCACCGGTGAGTCACTGTACTTTGATCTAAAGGTCATACATGTGATCACTGGCTTTGGGTGTGTGTGTCTGGAAAAAACTGCGGCAGTTCTTGTAGAAGTAATTATAGGAACTGGATGAAATTCAGTTGTCATCTCTTCCTGGTTCGTTAGAAGCCATGAGCTGTGTTATGAACTTAGGTGAAATTGTGGACTATTTGGATTCTCTTGCCTGCTTGACTGGGGCCTCCTGGAATTCGATGCATTTTGGGGGAGCCCTTGTTATGTGCACTTTGTTCTGTAGAGGGTTAGTAATCTTGGCATCTTTGATCTTTTTCCCTATTTCCCCAAGTGATTTGTTGCCATTTGTCCTAGAAGTGCCCATTGACCATTCAGATTTGGTGGCTGATCTTCTGAAAGAGCTCTCCAACCACAACGAACGAGTGGAGGAGCGGAAAGGAGCTCTCCTGGAACTGCTAAAGATCACAAGGGAAGATAATCTTGGAGTTTGGGAGGAACATTTCAAAACCATTCTGCTCTTGCTGCTGGAAACTCTGGGAGACAAAGATGTGAGATGCAGATTTTTGTCTTAATTCTCCTGGTATTGCTTCATCTAGGATGTTAGTTTCTCCACCTAGTTTAAATGAAACCTGCTGTATTTGTATGGCTTCTCATCAGTGATGCTGAACTACTCATTTTTTTTTTCTTTTGAAGGTTGATAACTCTGCTTGCATTTTCAGTGTGTTCAGTGATGAGTTTTTAGCTACTCTGATGTGTCCCAATTTTCCCCTCTCCCTTCTGAGTGCTAGTAACAAACAATTAGGAAATTGAACTAGTTATCTTCTAATCTACTACAAAACCTATGAAGATTTCAGAAGCTGTCCCCTTCCAAGTTATGACAAAGTTACAAGCTCTTAACTGTATCGTGCCCATTCCCCCCAAAAAGAAGAATAAAGGCAGCTTAGAATAGATTATTCTTTTTTTCTCTGTGTGGTTAACAGATCCAGGCTATCAGATCTCTTGGGATCAGTCTCTGTCTCTTGCAAAAATGTCATCAAGAATAAACAGCTATTATGGGGCATCTTGTTTTGAAGTATTAAAAAAAAGCTGTGTTATTATCACAGCTTTATATTTGGTAGTTGATCAAAGTGGTAATTTACAGGCTAGCCACTTGGGGCTATTTGTTCAGCTTGCAGCACAATGATATTTGGTAAGTATCAGCACCCTGCTGCGCCTTCACATCAGAGCCACGCTTCATCTGAATGTTACAATATTTAGGCTTCAAAGCACTTTTTTTGTTTCATCTAATTCAAAATCCATTGTCTTTCTTATGCTGCTTGTAAAGCATACGGTGCACATGCTTAGAAATTTTAATTCTGAAGCAGTGTAGGTGGCTGATATTTTCTCAGTGTTTGTAGTATAAGCATGAGCTACTCTAGTCCTACATGTTTAATCATAGCCTCATCACACATGTATCAAAAGATCTGGTGGGTTTAAGTACGTATGTGTTGTGATACTGCATGGATTTTGGGACATGCTTTAAAGGCCAAGTATAGAGTAAAATAAGTATTATTCTGTTGAAATGATAGAATCTATTTGGAGTGGCCACAGGCCAGAAACTCAGTGTAACAGTTATGAAATGGAAGCAGGTGTTATAAATCCCTTCTGCTAATGATCTTTTGATATAAAGGATTAACACGTAGTTCAGTGTTGACTACAATGACTTAACTGTTCTTGAGAGTTATTTTCATAGGAGTTACAGGAAGAGAGTAGATTTTACTGTGTTAATACACGAGAAGCAACTTTGGAACCCAGGTTGTGATATCTGCAAGGCTAAGCACAAGAGGAAGGGCAAAACAAACACTACCTGAGCTGCTTTATAGATTCATGTGATACTAATAACACTGCTTTGGGTACAAATTTATATTTCATTGCCAAAAGATTATGGAATTTAACAAAGTAGACTCATTCTGTGACAGCAGTCATTTTATGTGAATTTCTGGGCAAAAGCAAACGAGATCAATTCTGAATTTTAGTTATATTGATTACACTGTTCACTATACTGGAGCTGGTGCAATCTAAGTGCAATATAAGATTTCTGGCAGCATAGGGAGCCATAGAATTTACTTTAAGCTATAAATTTGAGAACTGGCTTTTTCTAACACGGATTTGATTCCTGATTACACAGCATTCAATAAGAGCCCTGGCACTGCGAGTCCTAAGAGAGATCTTACGGAACCAGCCAGCAAGGTTTAAGAACTATGCGGAGTTGACTATCATGAAAACACTGGAAGCACATAAAGATTCCCACAAGGAGGTGAGTGAGCCTTTCAGTGTTACTACTGGAAAAACAGTATGGACCTGCTGAAGCACTTGTGAGACTTAATAGGCAAACATGTTGACCTATCTTTTGGCATAAGTTTCCCAAGCAGAAACCCAGGAGACAGGGATTTTACATGCTAAAGCAGGGAGGAAAATAGTTGAGACTGACATTGCTGTTTAAGTGGACTTGGAGCTATCTGGAATTTTAGGCATCTGTTTATCAACTTCCCAGGATTTCCTTGGTCATTCTGGGAGAGGCTGAGACCCTGTAGCAGAAAACTACATGTTTAATTTTGCAAAGCACACTGGAGTCGCTGTGTCTGTATGGGTAAGGGTAAGCAATGTACTGGACAACACAAAGCCCATGTCCAAGCAGATCCATCTATGAAAACTGAATGATGAAATTGAGCCTTGCTGGAGAACTGGAAACTGGTGAGCAACAGGAGAAAATGGGACAGAGGCCATACTGCTGAAAAGAAGCTGAGGCAGAGAAAGAAGCAAAGGGCAGGGTGAATTGCATTTTCTTTTTGTGAGAGAACTTGAACTGAAGGTATTCTTCTGGAATTAAACAAAAATCAAGGGACATGATGACAACATTTGAAGTAGATCAAATTACATTTAAAGTCAGTCTTTGTAGATTGAGTTCCAAGCTGAATCTTTTAATCTACCTTGTGCATGTTGCAAGTTGGAACTAAACCTTGGAAAATGCCATGTGAATTTTTCTGTCTGTGATGGCTTTGTTACCAAACTCCTTGGTTTGAAATCTAAGACACTTATTCTTCTCTGCAACAAGCTTGTCCTTAGCTAGCAATTTCAGGCATCTCTGAAGACCTTTGGCCATGAAAAAGATCATTGTATAGATCAGACTGCTTCAGAGCATTGTGTAACTAGCACAAGGTTACGTTAGGTGTGCGTAGCAGAAACTGTACTGTTTAAAAATTAAAATAACGAAACAAAAAACACCCTCAGGGAAAGAAAGAGGCTGGATTTCTCTAAGATGCAAAAGTAGAAAATGGTTAATCCCTTAGTGAATGAGGACTGCTGTACTCTGCCTACCTTCCTTTCCTTGATTTTAAAGCCTTAGCACTCCTGTCATTTTCAGTTCAGAGTAATAAGAAGCAGTTGTAAATTGATTTCCTGATAAAGCAGTCAGACAAAACATTATGTTCTGAAGGAGTGCCTTTTACTGGCAAATTTTCCTGGTTGCATACTTCAGTTCACCTTGACTCAGTGCTCTTTGCATTTTATTTTTTTTTTTGAGAGTCCTCCAAAACTGCCATTTCTAATAGGATCTTTCCAGAGTCTCGGGCATTGTTTTAATGCCCCTCATAATTCAGTGACCTCATGGGACCGGTGGTTTTGTAGAAATCAAGAACAGTGTTGAAAACATGACATTTTATGCCTCTGTACTCCCCATACTGTGTTCTTCGTGCTTGTGGTACAGAAAAGTTCTTCAGGATTTGCTTGAGGTGCTTCTTGAGGAAAAGCATAGAAGAAAAGTCTGCTAAAGAGAAAGCAGAGCTTAAGCCAAGAATGAAGAGATATGAGTTCTGGCACTTATTTGTAGAATAATAATGTAGGTGTATTAGTATCAGCAAGTAGATGCTGTGCTGTGCATAGCATGGCTTTGATTTAAAGTAGTTTTGTGTAGCATCTTTGCAGTTAAAAAAGAGCATATATGCAGCTGCTGCAGTGAGCACTTTGGGTGACAGCTGTCATAGCAGGACACTGTAGGTATATTCCTATTTTGCTATCTGTTGCTAAGCAATTGTGTGTGCACAGCTGTATCAAATGTGTTGGTGGTGGATTTTTCATTCTATACATGTGGGTTTTGTGACCTTTGTGTACGGGGCTCTCAGAGCCATGATGCATCTGGCTGTCAGTAGTTCGAAAATAACAGCTTTAATGAAATTAAGAAAGGTTTCCCAACCTGCTCTTGGGTATCTACATGAGCTAGGCTAAAGATAAACCTAGGGATATGCTCTAGGTATTTTTCCCTGTAGCTGGGGCTTGCCGATTCAGTTATATGTGTGAAAAATTAACTGAGAGTCCGTCTGAGCATGGCTCAGGTGGTCAGACTCATAGGCCTGGGCCAGAAGGTCAAAATTCCCATGCTGTGGTGACCCTCCAGCTTGCTCTCACTGCTGACTTTGCAGCACTCCTCTCTCCAGGACAGGGTGGAGAAGCTGCCCTGTTTGACTTCAGTATCTGAAGGGGGCCTATAGGGATACTGGGGAGGGACTCTTCATTAGGAACTGTAGTAGTAGGACAAGGGGTAATGGGTTAAAACTTAAACAAGGGAAGTTTAGATTTGATATAAGGAGGAAATTCTTTCCTGTTGGGTGGTAAGGCACTGGAATGGGTTGCCCAGGGAGGTTGTGAATGCTCAATCCCTGGCAGTGTTCAAGGCCAGGTTGGACGAGGCCTTGGGTGATATGGTTTAGTGCGATGTGTCCCTGCCCATGGCAGGGGGGTTGGAACGTGATGATCTTAAGGTCCTTTCCAACCCTAGCTATTCTGTGATTCTGTGACTTGATCCTACTGAGCAGTAGGAGCTTAACAGACAATTCACCGTTTGCAATTAAAGGGCACTTTGAAAGGATAGGTGCAGGGGAAACAGGAAAATGTGAGTGGTCTGTTCTGTAGTTAACTTTTTTACTAAATCAAGGCAATGTTAAAGGTAGTGGTGCACCACCTACATAAATGAAGTCTTTGTCTGGACTGTAAAACTTATTTCAAGGTAAGCTGCTAAATAATTTGGTTGAGAAAGTGTTAATCCGTGTGCCAGTGATGCCCTAATAAGATGTCACTCTAGGACTTTCTGTTTCTGAGCTGCTGCTTTTAGTAGAGAGACAGGAGTGATCCTGTTTTATGGTTTGAGATCAAGATTTTGCTCACATTTTCTGTTATATGTAGCCCACAGAGAATCAATCTGAAGTGGCCAAGCAAAGAGAGTTTGCGGAAGAGCACGTTACAGAGCTGTTAATTTTGGGTACTGAGTCCTGGAAGTCACTATACTAAGAGGCAGTGCTTTGGAAATGAAGAAGGTTCGTCTTCTACCCAAATTTGAATATTGCTGCTGTTCAGCATGGCCAGGAGGGATCAAATAACAAACTATAACCAATACATTCACCAACCAGCAAATATCACCCCTTCCTCCAACTGAGTGCTGGTATCTTTAACTAGATATCTAGTTAAAGATATCTAGATAATTTTATTTTGTTTGAAATAAAAAAGGTCTGTGATTTTATTCCAGATTATATAATTGAAAGTATGAAAGCAGTGTTAGCATAGTAGGTATTTTGGGATGCCTGAATAATTGCCTGGTTTTGTAAGTCCAAGCAGAAGTCTTTAGACAGTTGGATCTTTGTCATGGCTAGAACTCTTCTGCCTTCTGTTGCTGAAGGCAAGGTCTAGGATAAGCAGAGCAGCATGGCTATGAGAACCACTTCTTTTCCCAGGGACACAGAAGCAGAAAAGCTGGTATTAGAGTTGAATGCTGATTCAGAGTTGTGCCTTGTGAGCACAAATGCAGGAGACTGACAAAGCACAGACCTCAATGGGGTTCAAAATTAATGTAACCCTAGGCTACAGGCTAGTAGACTCTGGACTGGGATTCATGTTTAGTTTGCTTTTTTGTTGTTTTTTTTCTTTAACTTCAGCCTGGTTTTATACTGTTTGTAGTGTACCAGCCTGTTCAGTGCTGTTGATTTAATAGGGTGATGTGAAGAGTCAAGCCTGCTTCAGTCATAACTGTAAATATTTATGGGGTTGACATGTAAATGCTTTTCACTTATTTTTGGAGCATTAGAACATAATTGAAGTTGTGGATGGTATTAAATCTTGTTGATTTTTATCACCCTTTGTTTGGAGTTATTTGGAAGAGAACCATCTTTCTATTGCCAATTAGTTAATATTAACTCATTTGTTCCAGTGTACTTACTCACCCATAACTAAGGAGAGATTCTGCCTGCTGACCCAATACCATTGGTGTGACATTGCTTCAGATTAATACCAGAAAAATGAGTAGAAGTTCTTATTATTGAGTATTTTAAAACAGAAGTCATTCATTAGCTTGGGAAATTGTTAGTGAAAATCATAGGGTAGCTAATTCCCTGCTTCTGTCTCTGCCACTCTGTCTTCCTCAGCCACTAAGAGAATGTGTAAGGAAGGGATTTTGAGCTTTGTCTTAGATACCTAATTTTGGTCTTTTATTATCCAGAAGGTCCATAAGCATAATTGGGATGTACCATTCTCTGTTGTAATCCTCTAGAAGAGGGTAAAAAAGAAGAAATTGCAGCTATCCAGTAACTGTAGATAATTAGCTGGCTGAGGTGCTTTTAGACTGGCCTCTGATATTTAGAAGATGGTTTGTAACTGGTGATGGAATGATATATATAGGTCTCTGCAAAATGTAGTTTACTAAAGAAGGAAAGCACTAAATGATCACAGTCTTTAAGGTTAACTGATACATAGTCTGTGCTGGAAGCTGCCAAGCACTGTATCAGCTGATGTTTCATAGTATATGTGCTTTTTCTAATTTCCAACACATTCCAAATATTTAGTGTGCAGGAGAAGCAGTCTAATCTACTTCATCTCCTTGGAATCCCTTATAAAAGTCACACTGGTTTTTGATCTGCTTAGCTCTCCCCGCTGCTGAGTCTACTTCCTGCTTTGAAACCAAATTAATTGCTTGTTCCCATCTGGATCAGGCCATAAAGCCTTCAGGGGTGGGAGTTTGCCTGGCCTAGGTATTGGTAAATCTCCATCCCCTCCAGCTTGGATTATGCAGGCTTTAAGTAACCACCTCTAGATGGCAAAAAATTGGCTCAAAAACACAGCTGCATGCCTGTAAACCTGAAAGCAAAACCTTGTCCTTCTGCTTAAAAAACTTCTCTGGTGCTCTGCTATTTTCACAGTAGCATACAAAGCCTCTGAGTTTTCAGTGGGCTTTTACCTACGCTGCCTCATCATTTATGACTTTCTGCAGAGATG